ACTTTTCAAATTTTCAAAGTGCGAGTATTTTACATTGTGGATTTTTAGCCCTCCTAGCAATGTCTGTTAGTCAGTCGCTCCACCACTTTGGTCTTTGGTTTATAACAAAATACCTGCAAAACTAATGACATTCCCATCAGTCTCTGATGTACTTTGTGTTTAGTGCTAATAAGCAAAGATGGTTAACATTACACCTGCTAAACATTAGCATATTAATGTTGTAACTGTAAGCATGTTGGCATGCTGACATTAGCATTTAGCTCTAATCACCTCTGTGCCTATAAGTACTGTCTCATATGTATATATGTGTATATTGTTATGGCCCAGCTCTGAGACCATAGCAAATGAGAGAAGGCGTGCATGGATGTAAGTAAAACAAAGGAATTTTATTAAACAGAAATTGGTGGGGGTTTTTTTTTAACAAAGATAACAAAAATGGTAAATTCAACAAATGAGGTTGGCAGATTGAGCAAGTGGCGGACTAACAAAAGAAATTAACTAAACAGAAAATTAAAACTCCAACAGAAGATGATGTGGTGCAAAGAGGGAGCCTCCTTAGTGCCAGGATGGAGAGGTTTATATAATCTAGGTGGAGGACAGTGGCCAGCTGCCTCCACGTCCCTGATGGCTTTCAGCTCCACCCAACCAGGAACCTGCATGAACACATACACACACACACACACACACACACACACACACACACACCACACACACACACACACACACACACACATCCCACCTCAGCCACTGGTACCTAGAAGCTATGAGAGACAGACCTCAAAGATGATGAGAACACAATCACTGGCATGTAATGTATGATGAAGTGCATCAGCCACAGCCACCACATTATCTTTCCACTCAGTGTGTCGTATGTCTAGGGAGTATGCCTGGAGAAACAAAGACCAGTACCATCAGGGAGGTAGTTCTTTATGACCCAGAGTCATAAGAGGCAGGAGACACCCTGGACAGAGCAGAAGTCTATTACATGGCTGACAAATAAACACAGAGAGCCGTTTACAATTACAATCACACCTATGCACAGTTGCCAATTCAAATGACTTCTGAGGTCATAGCTGGCTGGCAGGTTCAAACCCAGGACAGTGTTGCTTTGATGTGACAGTGCTAACCACTGCAACACCCTCATTTTAATTTCATTCTCTTAAATGCCCTAATTAGTGTTTTTCACAGACAAACCTGATAATAAGGCAAAATGGGAGCTAGGATCACACTTCCCAAGAAGCTGTAGATAAACTTCAGGGTAAAACGTTGAAACCATGCAGCTCTGTGCCTCTGCATAAAATGGCCATAAATGGGGAAACTTGAGGGTGTATCTGCAGTGCAAGAAGCCCGCTTCGCAGTCATCATCATTGCAAACACTTGTTCAGAACATTCTGTTCAAGCTCTGAAGGGGAAAGATTTTACAGTCAACTATTGTGGAGAGGCAAGAACATGTACATTTGACAGTTTATTACCCAAACCATTACTCTCCCTTCCCCTTAAGATAATGTCACTTGGTTTTGCTGACTTACTCTTGCATACTTATCTACATTTGCTGTGTTTACCATGGCAACAAGCCCCTGCTGAACAGTATGGTTGAGAAATGGAATAAAGACTGCCTTGCTGCCTCCTGGAATAGTGTGTGACACCGTGCACACAAAACCCCATAGAGGTGGTTTCTGCTCTGAATGAGGTACATGCCTCTGTGAGGTGAAGTGGCAAAGTTGTACAAGTTATTGCTTGTTAGGCCTATCAGGTCAGGGATCCTGCCTGAGTCCATGCTGAAGTGGCGCTGTTTTCATTTTCACTCGTCACACCGAACATCCTTCAGTTTTACACAGACAAAATGAAAAAAGGGGCCGACGTCTTCTGCCTGAAGAACCTGGGAGCAGCTCACTTTAATTCAGTCCATCTAAATGCAGACAGAAGCTGCAACACAGGGGAGAAATATTTAGTACAACAAATCTGTTTTTTTTATTTCTCCCGCACTCAAACTGTCAGTCACCATTATTACCACTCTGTAGTTGTTAACCGTTCATTAACTCCTCAAAAATGGTGAAACTAGAAATGAAAATTTGCAGTTCAGTCACTTTAAATAGTTAAAATATTGAACGATATTGAAGTCCGTTGAGATACACCTGAAGCTCAAGTCTAATCTCTGAAAGCAGATCAGCTATTCAGTTAAATTTCACATCTTACTTTTTCCCCAAAAATAAACCTCTGTAAAACCCCATGCTTGTTTTCTGATTTCACTTGGCAGCAATATAATAATCTGAATGCTGCGACCTTCAATGTATGAGTCACTGTGAGTAAAATAGAAAAGAAATAAATAAAGTTACCTTGAAGGAGAATGTCAGTGTCATATGAACACAGCACTGTGGGCTAAGAGATGTGGATGATTGTTTCGAAGTATTTTGATCTACATCTTTAGTCATAACAACACCTGTTCCGGGAAATTCTGTTATGTACATTAGATATAAAATATGTTTTTGCTAACTTTTTATCCCTGCAAAACTCAAAATGCTAAATACATAACTTTTCAATGTTCATGAACAGGATAGTCCAAATATAACTCCATACACGAACCCAGTTAGGACCCAGAACTCCAACAATAAATACGATAAGAAGCAAACACATCATAGCTAATATTGGTGCACCCTGGTTATCGGTAGAAGATATAATCAGGGTTATTGTAAACAGGATATTATGTTTACATGCAGCAACACCAAAACAGAGTACTTGACTATCCAGAATATTAACAGGATATTGATGTGCAGAGAAACGCACTCTGTCACAGCTGATCAAATGTTCTCCATTGCAGCGTGAGCACGGCTCTCTGCACTCTGTTCAGTGGTGCTAACAAAACTGCACCCAAAAGTCATTTTCAGAGGCAATGAGCCTGCAGACGACAGAACGGGTTCTGGATCAGCGTTTACGCCATGTGACAGAAAAGTCCCGGCACTCTTGAAAGTCTTTTAAACAACATTTTGACTTTGTAACATTTAAAGTCTCCTTTGAAATGAATACTAATAATAAATCATCGTAGCTGGAGTGGCAGTAGACAGGGGAGGCAGTCAGTGGCACGGGCGAGGTCGTGTTAATCTTTCAAAATAAAGGAATTCTGCTTAACTCCTGTCAGTGGTAGTGACAACTGAGATTTTGCAGCCAGTAAAGTCTTTGAGCAGTGGTAATTTTTCAAGGCATTCCTGCTACATAAAGCCTCCTATGTTATCCAAATTGATTTTCCCATCACCGTTGATCCCCATGCTGATACTGGCAGCATTGTCTACTTCCAGTATTTGGCTCAGCTTAAAGTAAATTCATCCCCAACTGAGCAAAACACTATATTTGTATGACTCATTTACTTGTCAGAACCAGGAGAGACTGGGAGAAATACAGAAAAGGTGGAGGAAGGAAGTAGGGATGTAGGGGGAAAGAGACAAAGAAGAGAAGCAGGAAGCGGGAAGGAAACGGTGAGTGAGGGGAGAGTGTATGAGAAAAGGATGAAGGAGAGAGGAGCTCTGGGAGCTGAACATTATTTAGACTAAATGAGGTCAAGACCTTGAGATATACACTGAATTTCAAATGCAGTTGCTCACATTTGCAGCTTGCTGTGTGTTTATGTGCTTCTGTATGGCTGTGTGTGTGTGTGTGTGTGTGTGTGTGTGTGTGTGTGTGTGTGTGGTGCGCGCGCCCATGTAGTCAATAGAATACCAACCAGGTCAATGTCCTTTTTCCTACGCTGATTTGAACAATAAGGCTGCCTTATTCAGCATAATATGTTGGTTTAATATCTCATAAAAACACATATTGTAGCTATACCTCCACCCCCGTCTGCCTGTATCTTCCCACATTTCTTTTCTCTCTCTGTGTCTCTTTCCTCTTGTATCATTGCAGGGTAATAAGGTCACGAAAATGCTGACCCTAAGTTGACCACACCCTCTCATATCTTTGCTCCAATGAATTACCTCCTATCGGTTGCCTTGGAAACAGACAGCCAGTGAGGTAGCAGATCAGAGAGCAAAGGTGTTCCGCTAATGTGGACTGCTGTATTCCTGTCTAAACACTGCACACACACATTTAATACTATCTTTTTTTGGTATCAATCACAGCACACAAAAGAAGAGCACTGTAACCCCCCCTTGGATAGTTCAGTCTGCAGGCGTTATTGTTTTTCAGGTTTATGAATGGCCTCAAACAGATGAGGTAGAACAATGTGAGGTACACTTCTGTATTTTGCTACAAGCTCCAAACAACAATACCCTGTCAGAGTGGGTGGTGGTGTGAGGTTTTCATTTTGACGATGGCGACAAATGTAAAACTATCTGCCCTGACATTTCAACACCAAAGAAATGGAAGGAGATGAAAATTCAATTTCAGTCTCAGTTATGTGAGAATACCCACAGGTTGTGACAATTCTGTCTTTTGTGTTTGTATTATATATATTAAAACAATATAAGTGCGACTCTGTAAGCATAACCTTGTGGTTGTCATTGAAGACACCAGACATTCAGTGTGTGTATGGGATTGTTTTAATATCCTGGTGGGGATTTAAACCTTAATACACACTAACCCAAGGGGACTTGTGTCACTGTGGTAACAAAAATTGCAGTCCCCATGGGTAGAGACTGCATTTTGAGGGTTAAGACTCTTTTTTTGGGTTAGATTAGAGTCACTTTATTTTGATGGTCAAGGTTAGGATAAGGGTCGAGGGAATGCATTATGTCAATGAGTTGTCCGCACAGGGATAGTGAAACTGTGTGTGTGTGTGTGGCCAGTGATTCAAGTGCTCTATTTTGGAGCCAAATACCACAGTGCTGCTCTGCTCCACTTACACCAACACCTGATGTCTCTCTCTGTCTGTTTTCTCAGCTATCTATCTATCTATCTATCTATCTATCTATCTATCTATCTGTCTATCTGTCTATCTGTCTATGTTGTCTGTCTGTCTACACTTCATTTATGCTTCATTTATACTTTATCTATGCTCTCTTTGTCTCTAGTTGGTGGGGTTTATCTACGCCTGCTACGTGGTCAAGCTCATTTCTGAAGAAGAGGATAGCTGTAAGTACACAGTCATACACAATGACTTTCATTCAGGAATGTACACTTACATTTAGCAAATTATCCAATAATAATAATAATAATAAAGGTGTTTATATTTACCCTGTGGTAAAAGTTTCTCACATCAAATGAGTGTTTGCTAAGCTGTGTCACTGTTGCTGTGCCTGTCAAGCTTTCTGTTCCCGCCAGGCACATAATGTTTACCATCTCAGTTATTTTTTAAACAATGGGTCCTTGATTTCAGACAGGTAGAAAAAAGCCAGTGTCTCATTTCTAGCCAAAGACCGTTGATTTGTTGGCTGAAATAACAACTGTCGCTGGCAGATTTTATCAGTTGTAGCTAGCTAGCTGATTAAGCTAACATTAGCTCCATGTCTTGGCTGACTTTTTCATATTTCCATCTGACTTGTTTTTATAAAAAGAATCTTGTTAAAGTGTCTTGCATATGTGTTTGATGGCTACCCAATGATATTGTGCTAAAGTTACATGTCCCAGGCAAAAGGTTAGCATCCTCACCTGAAACATTAAAAGACCATGAAATAAAAACACAAGAATGTTTCTGTATAGTAGTGTAGAATTAGTTAGTCCTAGTATTATAAGTATGAGGAAAATGTAAGCTCAGAGTCTTATTTCATTTTAATGTAACCCTGTTTGGCTTGGTTAATAATTTGTTCCATGGTGATCATTAGTTAGCACAGCATGCTAACAGTTGCAGATTGTGTTAAAAAAACATGAGTTCAGAAAGCAACAGGTTTGAATGAGGTCTTCTTGGACTGCTTTTACTGATGCTTGGACAGAAATTTGTGTGAAACCTGTAGTTTCCAAGTGTCACAGCTGGGCTCATTTATTTACAGTAACACATGAAGGGAGACAGACGAGAATGAGAGAGCGGAGGATTAAGAGAGCTAGGTAGATTCATGCTAGATCAAAGTCTTTCATTCATACGCCCCCACCCCACAAACTTAGCCACCAAAACCAGGAAACAGTCATTACGAAAAACAAAGAGTAGAGACTCAAAGAGCGAGGAAAGATAATTGCTCATCCATTCACACATTATTTATCTTTATTCAGTCTTTTATCAGTACATCAGTTCATCAATACAACCATGTTGATTGGGAAATGTGCAATTTGTACAGTAAAAGGTAACATTGACTATCATTTAGTAAGCATTTTGACAGTCTAAATGAATTGCATTTGAAGTGCAATACCAGTAAGAGTGAGGAAAATGAGGCAAATCAGTATGTTAATTCTGTGATTGTTGCATTTTAAATGCCGTGTGTCTCTGTGAGCATTAACTTGAATGAGCCCATTTACCTGAGCCCATCAATTTAGTTATTCCATTAAAGTAGACGCAGCTGTTCTGCAGGAGGATCAATACCCAGGCATGTCTTATTCAACACTGGATTGAGGATGCTGTTTGCTAACACATAAATATTGATAGGTAATAAATGCAGGCTGCATCAGTGGAAATAGTTAAAATCGCTGAGTGTAGACAAGTTGTCCTGCTTTTCTTCCTGCCTTAAGCAGACTGAGGATTGAGATTGACGGAGGAATGTTTTTTCTGAAACAGCGGCTGTTATGAAACTAGGTGAGCACTGGATACAAGACCTGCTACTGTTTTTAGACTCCTTTTGTGATAAAAAACGTCTGGGTTCAGTGAGGTCACAGTTAAATATTGAATCATCTGATTGTTAAAATCAAAGTTCAGAGTCCCATTTTTATGGAGTATAATTAAATTTCAGAGGTTATTTTGAGATTAATTTTCAACAGCGCATTTTAATGAGCTTTGTGATGACAGGAAATTTAAAAATGCCACTTGTTTTGAGTCTAAATAATTGATGTCTTACAGTTATTATTTGGCTTTCTGTTTTACTATTGTGCTTTGGTTATGTCACTTTTTTTTTTTCCTTCATTTTTTCACTAATTTGATGTCAGCAGAGCTCAGTTGGAAAAATGTAATGACACGATGTGCAGTATTTCCGTGCACCAGTCAGTGTAGCAACATTTGAATTAGAACATAGTTGCAGTTTTGGGGCAGTTGTGTTTGCATATGTTGCCAGCACTGTCAAACTGCTAATAAATAGTAACTGAGAACCTGATTTTTTCTTATGTAGTTCTGAATATTTAATGTCTTAGAGAAAAACCTAAAATGTAAAAACAAGTTTTCAGGCATGTTTCAGCTCTATACAAAATCAGCTGACCATCTGTTCATCCATTTTCTAAAGCGCTTATACTTTTAAAAGTAGAGTGGAGCTGGAGCCTATCTGCAGAGTACACCCTGTACAGGTCGCCAGTCTATCATGGGGCTAACACATGCTGACCAACACATTCACACTCACATTAACATGTACGGACAAGAGATCCCACCCACCTAAACTGTGTGTCTTTGGACTGTGGGAGGAAACAAGAACACATCGAGGGAACCCACACAGACCTGGGGAAGACATTCACACTCCACACAGAGGAACAATAATAAGCTACATGAGTCATTTTCACACTGCTTCTCATGGGACAAATGTTATCAGAAGGAATCGGGACTCAAATTGAGGTTTCAGGCCACTAATAGGGCTTAATGAATATGTACACTATGGCAGCATCATGCCACTTGCTACATTTTCACATAAGAAAAAGATAATTTTTCTCCATAATAATTCTAGGATCCATTGTAATAATCATGTTGCCAAGCCTTAAGTCCTGAATGTGGCTGTGGAAAGCGCTGCGCAATAATGCAGTCTGGGAGACTAAACTATAATCAGGGAGCTTAGTAGGGAAAAGCGCCTTGGGTGAAGACGCTAATACTCACAGAGGACCAATGAAGATTTTGAGTTGCTGAGAAAGCTAATTACTCTGATAATTATTCTGTGCATGTGTGAGTATTTGTGTGTGTGTGGTTGTGTCTGTGTGGGGAGATTAATCATTATAGTCAGTCTTATCTGTCTCACAGCTACTCAAATGTGTCAGACAGATTCTTATCAAACACACTTGTAAACAGGAATAACACACACACACACACACACACACACACACACACACACACACACACCTTAAGATTACTGAAGCAGTCTTTGTATGATCAGTCTTTATGTAAGATGTGTTTTGGCTCTTCAGTCAGTAGCAAACATTAACAACTGAAAAATAACCGCAATAATTTGACTGTAGAAATTCAGGAAATCTCAGTTTGTTACTGCTGTTTAATGTTTGTCCAGTAAAATCTTTACTGATCCGTTTACAGTTTCTGGCTTCATGATAGGCTTGTTCATCTTTTCACGTGCTCATTTGACAGTCCTGAGCCTTTTGAATAACATATCTGAATTTTTAAATTGGGCCACTACAGCTTGATAGGCTGCACAGTGACAAGGTTAGGGGCTCCATTTCCTCTTGTGTTCAAAGGGTCGTGCATGGCAGAAAGTCTGCTGAGACTATTTGACTGCAGCATGAATCAGCAGGAAAACCTTACCGTTCACACCAGGCCATTCCTCCACAAAAGGATCCACACAAAGAAGGAGTGCATCAAGCACAGGCAATGGCTCTGCATTGTCTGTCGGAACAACAATAATGAGCTGAATGATCATAAAATATCACCATATTGCAGCAGTCCTGGGAAACTGCTGATAGACAAAGAAGATCATCTGTTGTCCCGTTGCGTGGTATAATCAAAATTTCACATGCATACATTAGGAGGATTAAGGGATGGAAGTGTGAAAAAGATGTGGTGACTTATAATGATTTTTTTTTTTTTACAAAAATCCATCAGATTGAAAGAACAAGGAAGGTAGGCTATGTGAGGACAGATACCCTCACAGACTTGAACAGCTCTTAAAAACTCCAATGCTGCCATATAACAAGACAAATGGTTTCGGAAACAGCTAGCCTGGCTCAGTCCAAGGTTAAAAACCCTTATACTAGCATCTCTAAATTTGACTTAATAATGTGTTATCTCTTGCTTGTTAAATCTGTATAAAAACCAAAATGTGAAAATGACAAGTTGTACAGTGGAGTGGTACGATGTGGGGGAGGGGGCAGAAGAGACGAGGATATAACTCTGACCGCTATACTTTGTTACCATGAAGGTCGCACTAACATCAGACACGGCTAAGCTGATAAGATTTCAGGTGATTTGCCAAACTCGTCAATTTGTGATATGCCCGTTTTCTTTGGCATATCTGCCACTCGACTTTTTGGGTTCGTCTTCACAAATTTGGAAGTTATCCCAGACGCTTGACCTTTTCGACATCCTGCCGGCGTTATTGCAACTTGTCAGAATGTCACGTGGTCATGTGTCACTGTCCCAGTATTGGGACGCTGGTAACATTAGCTCAGAGCTATAATGCACAAAACTTATCATTAGGATTAAATGTCCATGTCTGAGAATAACTAATAATAATAATTAATGTTGATGCATAATGAATAATTGGATGACTATTTCTTCCCTCGTGGGCTATTTTGGTTTTTTGTTGTGATGCATATAAAAAAACACAGCATTCATACTGATTTAGATGTCGATTGCCATGGCAACAGTCGAAGCTTCAAAGCTTCGAGGCATCCAGGTCAGCCCTAGTAGTCGGTGCATTTGTTGGAAATCAAACCCGGCTGAATGTGTTGGTTCCAACATATTTGGACTTACTGTATATCCCTCCTTATTGCAGACTTGAGGTGAACTCATAGCTACTTTCATCTCTGCAGTGACAGCCAGATTCCACATTGTACTTAATGTTAGGAAATCTCTCTGAATGAATAAGAAAGTATGCTGCTGATCAAGGCAAGGAAGACCCTTTTATGAGCTCTACAACATCAAAGTAGAAAAAATATCGTTGCTTCCTCTTCAAAAGTCCAGGCTCTCTGCCTCAGTCTGAGGAAAGCAACCACCTGCTGGCAGCTCCTCAGCCTGGGAATCTGCGGAGCTATCCTAGATAATTTAGGCGTTAAGAGTATTCTCAAGTCATAAATATATCGCTGCATAAGTCTTAGTCTTCTAGCTAAAAATAGATTTAGATTTGAATCGCAGGATTTTCATACAGTTGAGACCGAATTTTCACTCAAAGCAGTTTTATGCCCACAACTCCGATTGGCACTAAGAGCAGTGATGGTGGTGGTGTTTCTTGTACAAAATGTACTGTTGAGGAATCTGTAGGTGTAGGACGCTTAATACAATGAATCATCTGTGGTGGGAAGGTTCCCAGTTGGGCATACACTCTCTCTAATTGATGTTTTTTTGTGCAGTTGATTTTATAGGAGGGTTCGACTCGTACGGTTACCAGGGCCCCCAGAAGACCTCCCACCTTCAACTACAGCCCATGTACATGTAAGTATAGTTAAACTCCATTTATCTATGTCTGTCTATAAGTACATACACACAACATTATGTAATCACAAATATAGGATGGAATACCATTTATTGGGCTTAATGTTCACAAAAAAAGTTTGTATTCCTGGCTTTCTTGGATCTTCGTAAAAGCAAGGAAATAGGTTTTAGATTTGCAAGTGGGAGGCTGACAGGTCTCACCCTCTTAAATTCAACCTTGCCGTAGACAGCAAACTGTGTTTAGGGAGTAATTTTCATCTGTGTTTGATATCTTGAGGTCTGCATGGGATGATATGAGCACATTCTCGCTGCATCAGCATAAGGTCTTAGCATTTATCAGCACAAGGTCTCATCAGTTGTCACTGTTGTAGCACTTTTATCACTCCCCTCACACGCTGCAACTGAAGGAGGGGTATGTGATGAAAACTGTTGTATCCTTGATGTCATTCATGCTGAAGCTGGTTTTCATAATTGCTTGCCAACCATTTTACCTACGGTGAATGGAAAAGGTATCCCCTCGAGTATTATTGTAGTGTTGTGAAATGGATTTTTGTTGTTTTGGAAGCTTTTATTTTGTGTCTCTATGGTGATTTCCTGAGACTGAGTATTATTTTCCTGAGACTGTGGATTCCAGCTTCAACAAGATCTTAAGCTATTCTTAGGTCGAAGAGCCAATGGAATAACACAACAACCCTCAGACAGCCCTGCATCAATCGCATGGTCTCACTTTGTTCAGTAGAAAGCACCAAGCAATACAACAAAAGCTACACCACTTTAACAAACAACAAGGCAGAATAATGGTGCTTCCACTGATGTGCAGCCGACAGGTTATCAATAATTGTTTTTATTAGAGAGAAGAGCTGGAGCGAATTAGAGAGAGATGCAGACGAACGGAGAGGGAGAGATGGACAAAGAGAAATTGAGATCAAGATGGGCGAGAGAGTAGTGGAGACAGAGAGAGAGAGAGAGAGAGACGGGAAGATGAGAAACACAGTGATGGATGAAACATAGGACTAAACAAAGAAGAAAGGCAATAAAGGGCCATTCTGTAGTTTTATATGTCCCCTGTGGAAGCCATAACACAGATCATAAATCATCGACCCCCAAGATAATGGCTACAAACACAAACACACACACACACACACACACACACACACACACACACACACAAAAGCTGGACTACGACTACACATATCTGCTACACACACAGAGGCAAGCACTCAAGAACATACAAACACGTTGTGCTGGCCTCACAAACATCTAAGCACACACATCAAATGTGCTGATGGACAGCTTGTGCTTCAACACACATTAATGTACACACAGATGTATATGTGCGCACACACGTACACAAACATCATCAATATGCTATCATTGTTCCCCAGCTGTTGTCCCTTCACTTTGGTGGTTTTTATTGGCTCTGGCCAGAGGGGCCAATAAAACAGCATCAGCTGTACCATCCCAAAGGAAACCCGCCCCCCACCTCCGTCCGCCACACATACACACACACCCACACATACACACAAGTAGCTTCACAACAATTACCATCTCCAGACTTTTGACTCCTTTATCTTTTATACAAATGAGTTAATTCTGTACATTCAAATGAGAGAAAGGGAGTTAACCATAATTTCAAAAGCATTATAACACATACAAATAAAATATAACTACTACAACAAACACCGGATTGTAATAATACATTTCCTATAATTTATGTTTTATTTCTGAAGCTTTTGTTACAACCCTGTGGCTGATTGGATTGTTAGAGAGTTCATTTAGTTCAACGATCAAAAGCTTTATATCATAAATATAGGAAATTTTCCATAGGAACCCAGGACACTGAGAAAACATTGCAGATTGGTATCAGTTCTATAGCAGGAGGTTTCATCTAAGAATTGTATTTAATAAAGGTGTATTAAAGCTGTGTTAATGAATAATTCCCCTAAAACAAGATTATGCTACTGTATATACTATATATACTATACTACTACTTAAGCATTTAGCTAAAATGCTTAACCACTGTAACGGTAGTGTAAGTGGAGAAGAGTCATGAAGTCAGCAAACTCACCCAAAAATGCCCATTATGAGGCATTAATTACTTATACTTTGCTAATGTTAGCTAACATTAGCCACCACAATTTACTGGTCATACTAGACCATCACGTATGAATGTACCTTTGATTTGTAAGAGGGAGAGTGTGCTTTTTCCTCTCTAAAAAGGTACATAGTCTCACTTTACTGTGTCAACACTTTTTTGATTTTGATTGTGTTAGCAACCGAGCAAATAGTTAGCATCTTTTCCTATTTTTCCTGATTTTTATTTATTTTTTTTTTTTTATTTTTTTTATTCTCATGCATGTTTAATATTTTGGGGGGAAAGTACCAGAGAGACAGTATACCCATGAGAGTGTTAATCTGTCTCTTGAGTGTTATTATCTTTCATAAAATACACCAGACAAGTGCTTCTGATGTTCTCATCAAGCAACATTATGTTTTTTAGTGAATTATTTTATCAAGGACAATACTAAGCAAATGCACCGCTTTGCATTTCATCATTAACCTCTGAACCTTCTTCCCCATATTTTTCAAGTAGCTTTAAAGTTACATGAAAGATATTCTTCATAGTCTACTGAATGACAGCGTCACATATACTGTATGTTCATTAAACTGGATGCTCGACATGCCTTTAAATAATGACTTGCCAATCTTTAAATCTATACTGGAGCAATGAAAGGGATTCTGTCACTATTTTGTATAACCCTCTCCTCTCTCCTCTCTTCTCCTCTCCAGGTCAAAGTAAACCCAGGATATACTCCAGGAGTGCTGCCTTACCAACCACCACTGCTTAACATCCTGCTTTTACTACTCCAACTGTCTTTTTTATTAACAACAACTGAAACACAGACAGGTAGACGAGATGCAGAAGACTCTAAGATATTCTGCGACTTGACCTACAATTACCCTTAGTACTTTGTCAGAAGGCTTCCCTGATCTGCATGTCTGTTGTTTTTAAATGCAGTTAGGTGTGTTCCTGATGAAACACTGGCCTCGTGTGGTTGAACATGGTAACTGCAGGACATATGCTTTTGTCTGACTCTGAGGGACACAATCTGGCGCCAGTGACTCGCCTCCTCCTGTGCTGTTTGCTATCTACATTGTGAAGGAAAGCAAAGGGATGCAAAGACTCATTGGTGACGTGTTTCTTCCAGTGAGAACTTATGGATTCCTGCCGTCAGAGAAATGTTAACAGGGAGCCTTGTTCCTTCACGCTACTGCAGAAATCATTTGCTTTCTCAAGTGTTGTGGTATCTAACAGCTCCCAATTGCAGATATGCCTGACCAAAGAGTTAAAAAAAAAAAAAAACAGAGATGCATCCGTGTGTACACAATGGAGCCTGTTTCACCATCTCTGGAACTCTTTTGCTCATTGTGCCTGACAGATTAGACACCGGACTTTAACCAAACTGACCAAGCATCTCCGAACAAGACTACCGATCAAGGAATGTCAGACTTCATTTTTCTAAGATTTCTTTATGGTGCATTTGGGTAAGAGCGAGTGCAAAGATGGAGGCTTGATATAAGTATAGACTGGACTCAAGCACGACTACATGCTACACATTTTACCCTGTTGTTTCATCAAAAACTCTGAATGTTAAATAACAGTGTGACGCGTAGATTTACATATTGTCATCACATATGTACATTTGTACAGGAAGCAGACACAGTCATACACACAGACAGGCATTAAGAAATGCATATGTGAATACACACATGCATGCACACACATACTTATAACAGACCTACCACTTAACTTTTTTACTACTAATGTGAATCTTAACAATGTTTACAACAGGAATTCTGTCTGTCAGACAGAAAGACTGAACATTTGACTGACAGGGGCAACAGGTAGATAGACAGGCAGACATGGAGGCAGACAGGAGACTCAAGAGAGACACTTTTTAGCTGCAGCATCCCAAACACCATGGGATGTTTTCTTCCATATTAATACAGACAGGACAGTTGTTCCAGATGTATTTCTTTGGTCCCTTGCTGTCTAAATATTTTGTCTTCCATCCAAGACAGACAGGTAAAGGGAGATAGAGACAGATAGAACATGACAGAGAAAACAACCACAGAAGAGCGATTGAGGTCGGGCAACAGTATCCCATCACCCTCAGTCCTCTTGGCAACCCCACACCCATCTCTCTCAGCAGGCAAGTTTTACCCTTTTTTTTAAAAAAAAAAAAAAGAAAATTATATTTAGGAAAAAATGCTGGAAGCCAGATAAAGTGCCCAATCAGCCTTATCGTCTGCAGCATCCAGCTCTTTTTAATAACAGAAATAGTTCAAAAGCAGTCAAACTCTTCCACAGGCAATGCTTACACAGAGGAAAAAGACACACCCTTTACAGAAATGACAATCACAGTCAAAGTGGCCTGAATCTTGTCACAGATTGGCATTTTTGTATCATAAAAAAAGTGACGGAAAGCTGAAAAGTGGCGTCATCATCATGTGGGAGCAGAGAAGCCTCTAAGTTAGACAATTATTTGATGAGTTTTTTTATTAATGTTCATATATTGCAACTCAAACCGCTAGTGGATAACAAAGCTTGGTGAAAGAAAGAAAAAGAAAACAACAGAGGCTGACACTGTAAGCATCCACCTTCGCCTGCAGACCTACGAGGAGAAAATGATACCAGAGGAATGCCAGAGACTTAGCAGCTGCCCCCTCTCACCTCACTACTCAAATCTTAATGTTGAAAGTGCCAACCGAATCACCACATGGACATCTGTAAAGCCTGGTTTCTGAACACCACAGACTGGGACCAAAAATAATGGGTCTCAGGTTCACTGTTCTCTGGTTCCCATGTAAGAAAAATAGCAAGGATATCACAAATATTTAAAAAAAAAAAAAAAAAAAAAAAAAAAAAAATCACATTGGCATTCCAGACGACCAGCAGGTTTTCTGCTTTTATTTATTTTTATTTTTTTTATTTTTATTTTTTTTATGTTCAGAAAACCAACTGATTCCTTCTGGAAATGTGGCTAAACGTGTTGCATTTGTGTTGCAATCAGTGGACCAAAAGTTTGAGGCCTTCTCCGTATATTAAGAAACATTTTTTAGGGGAAAAACAGTGGCTTCTCTTGACATGAGGATGGACTCACAGACCGTTTCGCTCTACAAACTGATCTCAAAGTCCACCGTCCGCCCCCTCACTCCCCCTCGGCCAGTTATCTTCAGCAGTTTATCTGTTTTTTTAACAAAACTCCGTGGGTTATGTTCAGAGTCACTGCCCCACGTGGCTCCACTGTCACTCTGGAGGACAGAAACAACATTTTATGTGTTTGCATGAGGTGTTTCCAAACTATTGCGTATTTAATCTCATGCTGCGTGTGACTAACTAGCTACTTAAAATGGGAACTGTTTGGTTTGTTGAATGCTCCTCAACTCTCTTCAAAGAGTCCTAAATGTGAAGTTTGTGATTTTTCTATAAATAACACAGTCTGAAATGTCTGCCAAGTAAAGGAGAAAAATAGCTACTACAATGTAAAACGATGAAATGTAACTTTGAACTTCTTGACGTTTTTTAATCACATGTGGCCGTGTTTACTGTTTTTTCTAGTTGACTACTAATGTATGATGTTGTGTACAAGTGGGACTACTATGTTTTATTTCTTCTAATTGTACAGTGTATGTGAAATGAGAGAGTAAGAGGAGAAAGGGGGGAAAGAGAATTAGTTGCACTATAGTCTATAATTCTTTCATTAAACCTTCTGTAAAGACTGGAAATTCACTTTCACTTCAGCACATAATTAACTTTACATTATTAATTTATATTTGAATTGTCAAACAACACTACGCATTGCTTTGTGATAAACAAATTCACTGCAGATAAAGTGTCTTTTTGGTAAATTCTAATTAGGAACTGTAAAAAAGGTCACATATCCATTATTTTGAAGCTTCATTGAAAAAGATAGTTGGTTATGTCATTAGCAAATGTTATCATTTGAACTGAAAGTGAATTCATTTGTTAATTTATTTGTCTTAAGGACTTAGATAAATTGAATATTACCTGGCAATGTGGAATCAATATCAACCTAAACACCAGATTTAACAGACTGAAGCAAATATACACAGAAACAGAAAGAATTCCAGATATCTAATGTGACCCAAATATGTGTGTATGTGTTTGTGTGTGTGTGTGCACATGTGTGTGTGTGTGCACGTGTGTGTGCGCGCGTGTGTGTGTGTGTGCGTGCGTATGCATGTGAGTGTGTCTGAGAGAGACTTTGTACCGCGATATGTTGTTTTCTGTGTCATGGTGAACTGAACAGCTTTTTACCCACAACCTGCAAAGCCACAACCTGCTCCGAACTTAACAGAAATTTCAAGTAGAGGAAGAACTCATCAAAGATTGTTAATTAACAGCAATAACAACAGTAATAATATATTGTAAAGTAATAATAACATTAATAATAGACACAATCTAGATAATCCATTATTTATCTTCAGAGTTGCTTGATCTCATTTAGACTTTGGAACAGTCAATAGAGCTTTTGTCTGTAGATCTAAAAATGCACTTCCATACAAAGAGAATTAAAAATGTGAAGAAGAAGCTGGAGCCAAGCCATTGAGCCAAACATCTAACCATTGTAAAGTTACATGGTCTCTCCTGATATTTAACTACTCCATTCTTTACAGTTGTGGAGCATACAGTTACAGTTATTAATATGGTATTGAGTAAATGTCAGAATAAAAAGGAAAGACAAAGTCTGCATTTGGCAAGTTTTTCACAGAATCTGAAAAGAAAATTTGCATTTGATAAGCTGAATTCAGCATTGTCAGCTTTATAGAAATAGTGTTTTAGTGTTTTTACAGTTTAAAGTCTCCAAAGAATTCCAAATCTTAAGGAATTCTCTATAGTCTAAAATATTTATGACTAAATAAGCAACGATCAAAGTTAAAGTTGAAATAACATCTTTAGTTATCATTTATTTAGAGTTTAACAAGGAAAAAATTCTTCTAATATTGCTAAACTGTGATGAGTGCTCAGACGTATGTGACATCCCCTGTTGCCAACTGACCTCATTCACTTCAAACTAGTGAGAACAGCACGGACAGATGTTCAGAGAAGATTATCAAGCAAGAGAAAAGTGTAGGACCCATGACAGAACCCTGAGGTACTCCGCCACCTAGCTCAGCTACTTTATGTAGCAGGCCACTGTGTATTGTAGACAGTAAAAAAATGTAAGTGTATTTGTCTAATTCTCCGAGACTCCCTTTGCTTTCATTTAATCTGAAATTAATTTAAGAGAGCTCAGAGAGTGCAATAACACATAATCGTATTACATTAACAAACACCACACTGTCAATACTTCAATGCAGGAATACGCCACTAACTGCAGGTGGAAAAATACTCTAATCTTTCTCTGTGGCTCTGGGTTGATTTGTTAATGTTCACCAATGACTAAAACCATCTATGTTGGTTTAACTCCTCTTTTTCTGATGGTTTTCCCACAGGAGACTGACTGTACATAAACTAGACAGTTGGGAATAAAGTAGACAGTGAAGAAAGTCTATTATGTGTCCTCTGTTCTCTGACACGTTTCAGACATTTTTTTGTACTCAAATTATTTATATCTGCTACATTATACATGCAAATGACAAAGTATTCACAGCCTAGGTTATTGAAATAAAGCCGCTCAAACAGGTTCCTAAAAGACAACTTAGGGAAAAATACAAACCCTGATCACTATTTTAAGTTCAGTTCATACAACCTTTTCAGTCATAGAGTACATCAGTATCACCTTTACTTACTCAAACACAAACCCATTGCCAGGAAGCACTACTATTCCTTTGCCAAGGAAGTATACCAGTGCAAATTCAATGTTTAAATCCTTGAGAATAGTAGTGTTTAAGTAAAACATGAAACAAATACCCAATTAAGCCTGAAAACCTCTTGAGTGTGTTAGAAAAACCCTCTTTACAGATGCATTCAGCTGAGTTTCTGGTAGAGTAACCGCTCAGGTTTAGAAGTAGTTTAAATATTTATTCGACTGCACACCGTCCCCACTTTTGGACCTGCATAGTGTGGAGCTGCACACTCCTGAAAACGTCTGATGGGTTCTCTGGCTTTATGTAATAAACTGAGACTGGCACTTGTAAAAGCTTTTTAACGTTGTTGGCATTCTCCCCTAAAACCAATTGGGCACAGCCAGGACAAGCAAACTAATTACCGTGTGGCTTGGGCCCTATGGCATTAATGAGAAATTGTAACAGAGCTAACAACCCATTTTACAAGCGCCCCAGTTAGGTTTATTTGAAAGTTGTGCCAACAACGCTGAACTAAAAAGGTGCCTGTCCAAATTACATTCATTCTTCAGTGTTCAAGTGTCACTTTCCCCATGGAGTTCTGGTTACAGGGGGACTTTGTGGAGATGAGAATTGTGTGTGTGATGTAAGGAACGGTAATAGGTCTACAACCTTTCAAATACTATGTAGCCTGAAACTAACCAGCTGGGACTATCACCACTGGTAATAATAATAATAGTGGGAATAATAAAAGCAAAACGTGTCTTGCTCAAGGTCAATGGCTGGGTGGATGTGCATATGTGAGCTTGATGGTTTGCCCCTCTCAGTTATACCCTCATATACAGTATACTGTGTATTTCATTGATGTGAAGCAGCAAATACTGTATCACCTAAATGCAGAAGTTGAGTTATGTACCTGCAGTTCCAGTCCTACCTGCACCACCTATTGGCAGAAAAGCAGCAGTAGTTTGGAATTTCATATCTAGATGTGCACAATCTACAAGCAAGGAAAATCATAGTTTATGCACTCTTTATACTTGTAAACAAGTTTTCTCTGCAGGGTTAGGGTTAGATTTTATTTGAGCATGAAGTTTCATTCTTGATCTTGGAAAAAGTAAAAGCAATACTAAGTCAAGGTCCACTTAGCAGCATTACTTAGAACTTACAACTGCATCTCAAGGTCTTCATCAGTGGACACGTTCAGCTGTCAAAGATATGACTTCACTCTGGCATGTAAATGAGCCATCACCATGACAACTGAGCAGTCAATGCCATCCACTGATGAAAACTACGAACAGTAGCTATACTACTGTAGGTTGCTGCCTTGAATGTATCTCCTCCATGATAACATGATTTGAATTATTAATAACACACATATTGTATGTCTTTTATGTATGAGACAGCTGTCTTCACCACAGACAGTGACAATCATCAATTTGCCACCAATATAGCTGGGTTAACCTCCAGGCACCCTGGGATGGAAAGGGACTGCTGGCTCTCAGTCCCTTTGCCATATTCCCAGTGCAGTGTGAACAGTTTTTTCTGTTGTTCCCAGATTTACTGTGTGACAGTTTAACTCATTAATGTAGGAATATGCAACATATGTACAAAACTGGCACAATTTGTCTCTAAACTTTTGACACATGGACTTTTATCAAGACAGGGCCTCAAGATTAGGTAAAGAAGCAGGATCCACTTTAAGGCCCTTATCATCTCAGCTGATATTGTCAAACAAAGTTTCAGTTACATTTTGGGGCCCTGGGGTTCTGAAGACCCAGGTCGGCTGCATGCTGTGCCCGGTTCCAGTCTAATCCAGCATTGGCCATACTACAACTGTGTATTGGATCTGCCAGGGCTGCAGTCCACCACTAGGCTTCCCCTCGGCCTATCGTTGCTCTCCAGCATGCTGACGACGAGACCCGGAAGCATCGAGCTGCCTGCTTTGTTTTGTTTTGGTTGGAGTTGTGTAAGAGAGCGACAGGCGGAGGTCCGTCCGGGAGAGAGCCGCTCACCAGATGGGGAGAGCCAAACCGGGGATGGAAGATGACGGACCGATAGCTGACGCCTGTAAAATGCCGAGTTTTATCAGCAGTTTCGAGGAGGGGAGGGTGAAATTGTCCCGCAACCTCCCGACAGAAACTTCCCTCACGGACGGTAAAGTTGAGCGGCAGGTCAGAGATTTAAACCGACGTGTCACCAGATCAAACTCTCGGTTATCACTCGACGGAGGAGAGAGGGAGTCGGAGGAGAGGAGCAGCGAGGAGGAGAAGGATGCGGAGGGCAATAACAACAACAACTGCAACGGCGGAGGAGAGAGGAGGAGGGCGAGCGCTGTCGAGATTTTGAGGAGGAATTTCGGGGTGTCAAAGTCTCCCTCTCTCCGTTTGAACACAAGCGGTCGGATGCAGTGCGGCGCCGAGCTTGAAAACCATCTAGGAAACGTTAACAACGACGTTACGAACGGTCATGGAAGTGAATGTGGCGACTGTAAAAAGTCGGACCGAGAAACGGACGAAGCTGCGACGAAAAACGAGCCAACCTCGAGCGAGTTAACGACTTCGGATGCACATGTAGTTCAGTGCCATCATATATGTGCCAGTGACAACAACACAGTAAGTTTAGACGAGTCTTTCAGTGTCAAAGAACACGTCTACTGCACTGTTTACTGCATCGCCAACGACAGTCATCAAAAAGACGCTAATATCACAAACCGCTACGATGAAACGGTCACGTCTGACGCACCAGAAATGGACTTGGAGACAGGACAGGAAGGAGGTTCGAGTCCCGAACCGGCATTGTATACTCTGGAAGACCTGGTGGATCCGTTCGGGGATATCTCCCATCAGCTGTACAGGGCGCAGGCCAGTGCAGAGAGTGCGATACAGAGTTGCCGGGTGTGCCTGGAAGACAAAACCATCGCACCTCTGCCCTGCTGCAGGAAGGCCGTGTGTGACGAGTGTCTGAAGCTCTACGTCAGCTCTCAGGTTGGTGGGGGGCTGGGGGAGGCAGGGATCGCAGGGTCACTCAGCAGCTGGTTTAAGTGTACTTCAGCATCAATAACACACACAAACTATCTTCTCTGTCACTTTTAATGTTATGGCAGCTTACTTGCCCCACTGCAGGGGCATTGCTATAAATTCTGGGAACTGTGGAAAAATACTCTGATTCATCCTTAACGACCTGACCCCACATGTTTCAAATATTTCATAAAAATATCTGGATTAGCTCTAAAGGGACTCTCCATTGTTAATTAGGATAAAGTTTTATGTAATTATTACGAAAGTGTCAAAGCTCAACATCTGCAGGTCTCCTTATCTTGTGATAACTATTTTTCTGTGAATCTGGGTCACTGACACATTCTGCACTAAAACTAGGACTTGGGAAGGATTTCTTTTCACAATAGCAGACTTTGTGCATTGTTGGGCTTATTCAGCAGAACTTCCTCATCTAACGCTCACCTATTTTAGTAAGATTCCACCCTCAGATACAATATTTGTATTCTGTTGTGCATCGTGCAATGTAATGGTTGAAGTCGGTCAAAACAAAGTCCTAATGAGGACACAGCATGTCTCACTGAGGCACTTAGGAGGTTTTTGTACAAAGGACTTCTCCCTGTATGACCTTTGAATATTTATGCAAAAATAAAGAGTCTAGTCAGAGATCTTATTCATTGATCCTGATGGTGATTTACAGTGATTCATCAAGAACATGAATAATTGATAGATGAAACATTTACTTCCATTAATCTACAATGTTGCTGCCATGGAAATAGGGACTGCCTCCTACCAAAGCTAAAGTGTCTCATGATGGATTTTTTTTTTCTTTAAGTGCCTTGTTCGTGAGCTGGTGCCAGTCAGCAACCTTCAAAATATAACTCCAGCCTTGATAAAGCCTTTGTTGGCTTCTGTTATTGTAAAGTTTACAAGTTGGGGATACATAACGATCTTAGGACATTGCTACTGGAGTGATAATCTGCTTAAATCTGATGAAACAGTTTTTATCAGTTCTATAGACTACTTTGTATCTGTAATTATCTTTCTTTGATAACAAGGCATGATAATCATAAACACAGACGCACGCTGACTCATATCATATTTTGATAATCTCACTGAGAATGAGATAAGGGTCATGTAAACTATCCTGTGAGGGTGGATTTTTTTCTGTTAAGCTACTGCACTCTTAGTTAAGAACACATGCTTGGTGTTAACCCTCAATAGGTACAGTGAGCATTAAGTCATAGAGATCACAGTTTATGATCTTAAAAAGGACCCTGGGAGGGGATTTTGTACCTTTCTTCAGGGCACGTGGGCAGTCAGGGTAGGTGGATGCAGTAGGAGGCTGGTTTGCACTGGTTTGGTTCTAATCATGTGCCAGGGATTAAACCAGCAACTTACTTGTTATATATCAGCCTCTTTAGATTAAGGCAATATTGTTGGACTTATTTTTAGATTTATAAACAGGGATATAGTAGCTGTGGATCTTGCCTGTTTGAAGTGACAAACTAGAATTCACTCTACCATAACATACCAGCCTTTTTTGTCAGACATTATGTACCAAATATATTGTTATGATTAGGATTATTAACTGGCATGTTTTTGATCAAATTATAATTTTACTGTAAATTACTTTACAACACCACAATGTGCACAAACCTCAGACATGCCAAACTATAATGTCACTGCATACTGACACTAAGTGGTACTAGCTTTAGCTCTGGCTGAGCTAACAGTCACCACAGCCTCGTGCACATTTTAAGCTTAATTGTTTTACTGTTTTCATCATGTGTATGTCTTTATGCTGAGTTATGTTTCACCCCATTACAGTGAAAATGCAGAAAAAATTAACCCACATTTTAAACACTCTACACTTAGTGACGTGTGTGTGTGTGTGTACGTGAGAGACAGAAAGTGGCAGCAGTCCAAACCTGCTCAACCAGTCTGGCAGGGGTTAGTGTTGTGGCAACAATCCTAACACATCAGCTCTCATGCCTGCAGAGGATACATTTTCATAATCATGTAATAGGTTTTTAGTCTGTGTGTGTGTGCATGTGTTGGGGTGTGTACACGTGCTTTAGGGGATATTAGGTGTAACACTGTCAGAGGCCTATGCTATTGTTCTTTCCTTTCTGTCTGCCGTCATTTCACATGCTCTCTCACAGAGTCACACACACATACACACACACACACACACTGACAAAATACCTTATCATGTGTCAGCACAACAGGTCTCACTGGCTTTGATGGACTGAAAGTGTGGAGAGAGAGAATAAGACAGAAAGAAAATATGAAATGAGGAAGAGAAAGAGAGAGGGAACTGGAGAGGAGGAGATGCCCTGGGAGGAAAAAAGATGTGAGAGAATGAGAAGAGGAAGTTCAGTGTTTCTCTAGTCTTACCTTTGATGCTTACTATATCACAGTTAGATGAGATCTGAAAACACACTTGTATTGTTTTGGTGTTTCACTGAACCCAGAAAATGTGTCTTCTTCCCTAACAAAGTATTACTAACTTATGTGACACTATAAAACATACACTGACTTGAGTACCCTAAATTAATGTTTTATTTTTAGATTATGAAATAGTGCACACTAAACTGAGAGCATCACTACTCCGCTGGGTGCAGGTATCAAGATGGCCATGGTGTAAATCATTGTCTCAAAATGTAGTTCAGTGTTTAGTTTGTGCAAACCTCTTAACATTGTTCAATTTAATCTATCTTTGGGAAGTGTGTTTTCCCCATCATTTCTGTCAGTGTCTGTGATTTTAAATTTAGTGTGTGACTGAATGACCTGACCATGTAATTAGTGTGTGGATAAGGTCCACTTGCTGTAACTGACTGCCAGGCACTTGGTTTGGATTAAAGTGTGCGTGTGTGTGTGTGTGTGTGTGTGTGTGTGTGTGTGTGTGTGTGTGCGCGTGCCTGCGTGCCTGCGTGCCTGCGTGCGTGTGTGTGCATGTGTCTTGATACATATTAACTTCCACTCTCTCCACTGCCTCCTTCAGTCTTCCACTCAGCTACCTATCCCTTCCTCTATTCTGTGGTAAATTATTAACTATTTCCCATCAGTGATGTGAATATATTCCATATGTAGATTTGATAGTGGTAGTCCATCGCTTTAACAGAGAGACCCACCATAAAAACACACTATGCAGCAGTGTTGCTTGAAGCACACAGATTCCAAATGTGAAATTTAGTTGATATTGAATCGTTAGTTCACATACAAATTGTTGTTGTGACTTTCCTGCTGGTCTTGCACAATACTATCAATCTCCTGTCTGTCATGTTTCCCAGGTGCGAGTGGCCAAACCTTACATCAGCTGTCCGATCACGGAGTGCAGTGGCAACCTGGAGGAGGGAGTGGTGATTTCCCATTTGGCCAATGAGGATGTGGCAAAATATCGTTACTTTTTGGAGCTGAATCAGCTGGATTCGAGCACGAAGCCCTGCCCCCAGTGCAGTCAGTTCACCTCTCTGAAGAAGCACAACCCCAACCACTCCGAGCACAAGTACAAGGTAAGATGACAGTTAGAATACACATGCTCTCAGCTGCTGCACAGAGAACATAAGAAAAATATAAAAAATTTTACAGCAATATTCAGTGAAATACGTGAAATTAAATTCCACATATTGCTGATATATACCAACTACTAAAGTAATAAAAAAGTGATCTGAGCATGGATCTACTGTCTCCTGTCCCTACTGTAGATCCAGTGTAGCAATTGTCAGTTTGTGTGGTGCTTTAAATGCCATGCGCCCTGGCACAATGGCCTCAAATGCCGCGACTACAGGAAAGGAGACAAGCTGCTACGAACATGGGCAAGTGTCATTGAACATGGACAAAGAAACGCCCAGAAATGTCCACAGTGCAAGGTAAGAACTGGGGATAGTAGAGAGGACACAAACTGTAGAGCATCTTAGTGTGTGTGAGGATTGCTGGCTGCGGCTGCAGTGTAAGGTGGGTGTGGGTAAATGGAAAGGGAGTTGACTGATGGAGCATGGAATCAATGTAGAAGAATAAATCAATGAAGGTAAAGAAGCATTAAAGCAGGGATGGATGATGGATGGGGAGCTATAGAGAACTAGATGGACGCACAGATTTAAAGTGCATGTGTTACAACAGATCAGAGATGCATAGACAGTGAACATATTGAAAAAAATAATGATGTCTCTGCTAGAGCAAAACCATATCTGGTGGACTCTCGCAGTCATCAAACCAGGCTGGTCTTATCTCTCAGTCTCATTACAACCAAGTTAGTCTACACAGTATCTAATTTGACTGTCAGAAGATGACTAAAGGAAGACGTAAATTAAGCTAATTACCGGTATATGGGAAATGTTTGCTCACAGCAGCAAATGCTCACCATCTGTGTTTGTCACACTGCTGCTCCATGTCTCTGAATTTCTGCTCTGCTCTGGGAGCAGGGTGACTGTGAAGCCAACAAATTGGTGTCATGCTGTGTGTAGCTAGAAAAGAAGCTGAAAGCAGCTGAACTTAATGCCTAGTTTATAGGAAGACTGCTCACTGCTACAGCAGCCAGAAGTGAAGATCCATTAACTGCACTGCTGCATGCACATTGCTGTGCCATTCAGTGGATGCTGAACCACATTCTTATAGATTTTAGTGTGAAAATAAGAGAAACCTCTGCCAGTATTGCTTTTAAATGTGAGTAACATCGGGGAATTGTATGTCTTTCAGAATAAACTGAGCTGACTCGACTTGGTCATTATAAGGATGTATTCCAATTGGATGACAGGCTTTTGAGATAATGCACACAGCTCTTTGTCAGTGCAATGAATATAGAATGTGGTGGCTGAAAACTGTTAAATGTTTCTGTCTGTCCCCCGTTTTTGCCTCTTCCTGTATTTAGATCCATATTCAGCGTACAGAGGGATGTGACCATATGACTTGTACACAGTGTAACACAAACTTCTGCTACCGCTGTGGAGAACGCTATCGACACCTAAGGTTAGTGTCTTTTTTTTTTCTGCAGCTGTCTTTTTTCCTGCAGCTCTGACTTCATCTTTCACCATCTTTGTTGGCAGGTTTTTTGGGGACCATACATCCAACCTCAGCGTGTTTGGCTGCAAGTATCGCTATCTGCCCGATAAACCTCATCTTAGACGGCTCATTAGAGGCTCTGTCTGTGGTATGTTGATGTGTATGAATATGTGGCGGGGGGAAAGAGAATCCTGAATCTGGACCTGATGAGCTTTTTAATTCCGATTGATTGAGGATTGTTTTTTTCCCAGCATGCTGTCCAAAAAATAGAGATTTACACTAATACAGCTACTGTGTCTTCTGTTGTTTTGTTGGAGTAGTTGAGGGTTTTAACAAAGCACCAGATTCAGTGTAGCTGATGCAGTTGATGTGGCAATAAACCGGTGTTGATGATAAACAGCTTTTCTTTCCGGTGTATGTACCTTCTCTCAAACTGCTTTATATACTGTAATTCTGTTCTCCATGACTCAAAATGAACCGGTGAGAACACTTTGCACTCAGCAGGGGATTATAATTGTGAATTAGAGTGAGAGTGAGTAATACTGATATAAATTGCAGTGGAGTAGTTTTTTTTCTCTCTTCATGTGTTAGATAACAACAGTCTGCTGCTTGTTACTACTAATGCTAGCAGCTCTGTGAGGCTAAGGTACAGCAGGGCTTTCAGCTGAATGCTAACAGCATTGTGCTAATACATTCACAATGACAATGTTAACAGGCTGATAGAATTTTTAACATGTTTAAGTTTAGCATGTTAGCATGCTGACATCTGCTAATTTGCAGAAAACACAAAGTAGAGCTGAGGCTGGTGGGAATGAAGGTAGTTAGTCATTAATACCTTCATTCTGCACCAAAGTGGTGGACTGGCTACCCATAGAGCCACAACTCTGGAAAGGCTCTGCAAAATGCAACATGCTGTATCTTATCACTGAGACACGAGGGAATGCATTTGTATCTGACTGAACTTGCAGATGCCACTGAGAAAAGCTTTCTAATGAAGTGTGAAAGCATCACATATCAGATTATGTTAGCCGTAATTATCCATTCACACTTATTCACTAGTAAGCCTCCAGGAAGTTGAACTCCTCTGATAGATCTGTTTGACTCTGCTCTCCATGACAGCTACAGCTCGTTATATCAGCAGGGAGCCTGTCGGACTGGGAGCTAATTTGTCCCTTAACAAGAACCATTTACTCATTACAGCTCTCATCACTGTTCTCATGCCATGGCCTGTTAGCGCCACAGATTTTGCATTTAATATGAAACATTTAACTGTAGATGGAGCTGATCATTTTCACTGAAATCTGTTCTGCATTAAGTAATTTGCATAACTACACACTGGTGTCTGAACACCTTAACATTTCTGCAGGGATGCATTGAAGTTTTATTTACAATGTAACAAAACAAACCATTAAATTTGAACCATGTAATTTCCATCCCATCTGAAAGAGCAGTTATTCATTATGGATGATTCTTGTTCTCCTCGCTCTCCGTTTCTCTCTGCAGCCACTAAGGTGCTGATAGCTCCAGTGGTCATTCTACTGGTCGTGGTGCTTGGAGCTCTTGCACTGGTGATAGGTAACATAATTACACACATGAACACACATGCACATTAATCAGGGTGAAGCTCCAGAGGAGAGCCGTAAACAGATAACAGCTAAATGGTTTGGCTCTATTATGGATACTTTCTTCCACAGCAAAACAGCTCCACTGCCAATGACATTATGGGCATCTCTGAGTTTCATGTGAAAGACAAGGAAACTGTTCCTGATTTTTTAAAAAAATGCAAAGTTGTAGATACAGATTTTGACTCTCTGGATGACTGACTTTTACTTCCTGGAACTACATTTACTAGTATCATCATCCAACTGCAGACTCTCTGAGCCGCCTGTCAGACAGTATTGTGAACTATTGATGCCTCAGCTGAACTGTAATTAGAGTTAATCTCTTTCCCGTGTCTGTATGTCTGACAGATGATCCGCTGCAGGCTAACATGCCGTGATGGCAGATTCATATTTATTTCCATCATGAATAGAATCAGCGCCTCCAATCCTTTCTTTTTCAGCTCAATTAATTTCATATATACCAATTCTGTTCACAGTGTACTGTAAAATGGAATAATCAAATCAAATCCATGTGGAAATGTCATTAGATATTACTCAATCAGTATCATCAGAAACAATTTTTTTTTTGCTTTAATCCATATCTCTCCCACTTTGTTGTGTCTTTATCTCAACAAACACCTTCCTTGTCTGCAGGTTTGGTAGTTTTCCCGGTCTACTATGTGTGTAAGAGGAAGAAGAAGCAGCGCACTCAGGGCTCTGGACGGTGGATCTGACACCTGCCCTGCACTACATCAAGACCACGCTCACACAGCTTGAATCGACAACACCCACATATCCTCAGGGACAGACATGCCAGCCTGAGTCATCGCAAAAGTGTGAGAGGAACATCAGAAAATGAACCTGACTTGGATATTCAAGCTGAAACAGACATAAAACCCCATCTGAATCCTGGAGGAACTGCTGTTTTGTACAGTGCTGCTCACATAATGGATAGTAAGTGTTTGAATCCCTTAAAATGTAACAAACTTTCATAACTGTTAGGACTTTCCTACTGATCAACCCTTGTCCCACACACATTACAGAAAGTTTCAGCAGTGCACATTTGCGGACGGAGTCAGTTTCGTTTACACCCGCACTTGTGAGAATACATTAAAAGAAGAAGCTGGAAGCCCATTGCTGATATGTTACGAATTATGGATTTTGTAGACGAGAGGATTTGATAATGTTGATTACCAGAAAAATGTTACAAGGAACGCTCACTGGAGGAATTCACAGGTGAACAACGCGGAAATACGAGGAAATGATATCGTCCTTAATTGCAAAAGTTGCTTGCGCTGCAGGTAGCGAGGAAAAAGTGTAAGATGGAAGCTGAATTCAGAACAAGCCATGGAGGAGAAATGAGTTCTCACTGATGCAACAAGAACTGGACATTGACTTTGTTCTTCTTCCTCTGTTGGAAATGCAGTTTTCATCGGATATTGACAATTTCCATTGCAATTTGTGTTTCTGACAAGCGCACACTGTGGAAAATAAAAGGACTAAACTTGAAGGATGATACTACTCAGACACTGCTATTCTTGGCTACCCTGAATAATACTGACTCTGCCTGATCCTAAGTTCTTGCTATAAGGCTTGAAGGTGACTGAAAGTGACCTCTGAATGAAATATTGGAAAACACCGATAGAATTTTAGTGAGCCTCCATTGTTTTCCGTTGTGGTTTTCCATCAACTCCTCCTTCTATCTGTCTCTGTCTTCCTCACTCTCCTTTCACCCCCTCCTCACTGCCTGGCTGGATGGTGGCTCACACACACACACACACACACACACACACACACACACACACACACACACATGCACCCTCCCTGGCTGGCAGCTCTTCTCTGCTGTGCCCACATACTCTATGCCAGTATCTGCATCATCAAAAAAAAAAAGAAAGTCTGCTGTATGGTAATTGTGCCAAAACAAAACGCTGAATGTGGCAGGACAGACAGTTGACCCTGCTCCTTTGTTGTTGTTTTTTTTTGTTTTTTAGGGGTTGCCTTTTGCAGAGGTTTAGGTGGTGATGCTGTCAGTGTATTGTGGAGTCTGCACAAGGTCACACAGGTTGTTGGCATAATTATGCATAAGACGTTTGGAAACCGTTCAGAAGTGCTTATGCAAAGGCTAAGACTGAACATACTGTTGCAAATGGTCCCAGCAGATAAACAGAAGGTTTGACTTTGCTTTTTGTTGTAGTGTGGATGGCGGTTTGCCAAAAAGGTAAACAGGATGCTAGATTTTTAAAATATGAGTATAGACGCTAGATCAGGTTGCTGTGCACTGAATATATGGTAAATTACGTGGATGTAAGTTATAAAATGATCAGGTTTTCAAGCTTTTCAAGAATTGATATGAAAATGTTTGGTATTGTTTCAGTTTTTTTGCAGTGAAAGGAGGATTTCTGTCTGTCTGAGAGTTTGCATAGTGGTTTTTAACATAGACACATACACACACCCTCTTAACTCATTCACACTGGCATATACGAAAGCCCACACGTAGGGTGCTGCCAGGAAACAGGAGATTTTCAAGAGCTTTAAAGGTCGTCACCTGGCAGCAGCCAGCTTGCTGTCCTTCACTTATCCCTCTTTTCTCCTCCCTGCTGTCATTCCTCAACTTTTGTGTTACTGCTTCTTTTTTTTACCCCTATGATCTGTCACTTTTCTAACATCTCTTGTCCATGCAGGTGTAACTGGATTTACATCCCTCTGACCTCAGCTGTGAGTGGAGGTGACAGTTACAGTACAAAAAAGGCTCAGTTGGGAAAACAGGGGGTGCACACCCACTGGAGCTGTAGCTGCTGTTCACCCACAAAAAGCCATCCAAACTGGATGCTTTTGAGCCTCTGATATGTGAAAATAACACAGAGCTACCAGTGGTGCACGCTGCGGTCAAGTACACCAGTCACAGATTGTTTTTTGTGTGTTTTTTTCCCACCACTTCATGGAGCGAGCTACCTGCTTTTCGCTATGTTGCTCTTTCATGAGAGGCTTACGAAGGAGAGACTGTAGGAAAACAAGAAGAGGAGGAAAAGCACAATACGTCTGCACATAAGGGATGTTACAGCACAGTGAGAAAAAGATATGGAAAGATACAACAATGAAAGGTTGAGGGGGAAACTATAGTTTGTTTTTTATAAGTGCATTTTCAAATCCGTAGTGGTTAACAGTGGAATATAACCTGATTGTTACAGCACGTTTCATCACTGAATCTTCACTAAATCCAGGATTTAAGGCATGAAGGAAAAGCAGCGTTGATGTTCATGCATGTGGGACATTTTTACAGAGCAATGCCATTAGCTTGGCTTTATCCCAGGGATCTGAAACATTTTCTACATCTGGGATTTAATTAAAAAAAAAAAACAACTGTCAAGTGCAGTCAAACTGTACAGACAAAGTTCCTAAAGGACACACAGAATATATTGTTACACACTGATTTCAGCAGCCATAAGAGGTCCTGAATCTGGGTTTAAATGCACTCTCAGGGAGTCTGTTTTCTGTTCACTGTACCCAGAGCTCTTCATCTACATGAGCTGTGCCACAGAAATCTCTGAACAGCACTGCAGATTCAAAATGCTTCCTGATACGTTCGCCTAGAGCTGCTTAGCAACCATATTTAATTCCAGGAAATAAAGGACACTCGAGTGTCAAAAGAGATCCAAATATCTCAGTGTTGCAAACACTGTCTGTGTTTCCCAGCCTCACTCAGCTGCGTTGTGAACCCTCTGTGGAGATCAGGGGTTGAAGCTGGGAAGAAAAAATGTGTGTTAGTGAGTCAGCACTGGGAAATTGAATGTGTAAGTTATGCGCCAAACACAAAATACTGAAACCATTGTTGACTTGCAATGTTTTATCGTATACATGTTTAATCTAACTGCTCGGCTAGTACTACACTGACATATTAAATTTCTACTTTTTTTTTTTTTTTTTTGATTGACATAAGACTGACTGACAGAGTATGATGGATATTTGTATTTTAACTTGTCATCAGCACAGAGAAATGTATCAGCAGAGTGAACTGAAAATTTATTCACTAGGGGCTGTTTTTCTTCGTGATATGAACACATATTTGAAACAGTTTCCACAATATATTACCAAAAAAGCTGCCCTGTAGTGTATAATGTACCACTGCTGAAATTACTGATCTATTGATTATCGTCAGAAAATAACATATGGCATCTTTGATAATTGATTAATCATACACATAATTTATCAGGTAACTAACATTTGTTCAGATGAGGCAAGGAGCTTCTTAGAAGCGAGAGTTTATAGTCAGATTTATTTGGCAATTTGGCTGTCAGACAGTCATTGCAAATATGAATTGCTTCCATCTGTCTAGCTACAGGACAAACGTAAATGAATAAGGTTTTCTAAAAGGTTGGTATTTGTCACAGATATCCACCCATATCTGATTCCTTACCCTTTTATTCATGTGATGCAATGTAAATATTCCATGTCAAAATGCCATCACTGCTGTTTTATTATTGTATTACTACATATTACTGACTTCATCACTGATATTTATCAAAACCCTAGACAACTCTTTGGTTCAAGCTTTACATGCACAAAAAAAATCTATATTAATTCAGTCAGTGACATGAGAGTTGTTTTAGCCAGTGATTTTCTTTTGCTGTGGTGTATTGGCTGGCTGATGCCCCTGGCCTTTTAGTTTGTGTAACAGTCCCAGTGATACTGGCTTAAAATATGCAATGGTGCCTTCACAGCCACTATAGATCAGGGTTTGCCAGCCTGTGGTTCAAGCCCCCTGTGTGACTCCAAAGATTACAAATGGGGGTAAAATCTATCACAGCCTCACCAAGGTGCGGATGTCTTAGAAGAGCTCAAGCAAAGATAAGATAGAACTCCTCATGTAAGAGAAAAGTACATGGAACGACAGTTGAATATAGCTGTGGGTCTGTTACCCCAGTGTCCAGTACAGTCATGCCTTTGTTTTTAGTAGAAATTAATAAATTAAACCAAACATCTAAATATTTACAGGTACCACAATTCAGTGTGTCAGCTACATCCCAGATACTATATTAGATACAATATTTTTGCAAAAGTAAAACTGTCACGTTATTCTGGCTCATGCTAACCTCACTCATCTGATTCTGTAGATTAACATGAGGAAACAGTAGCACAGTGGTCCCTGTTTCCAACATTAGATGACTTTCATAAGGCTGCTGTGGAACTGACAGGAGGAAGATGTTTATACCAAAAAGATGTGTCAATTGCAGCAAATCAAATGTATTGTTAGGGATGATACATATAGGTTACTTTCAACTCAGGAGGTCTGTGGATATTCAGTTTGCAGTACAGTGTATTATCTGTAACATCAGAAAGGGTTTTCCTTATCTAAACATACACTTGCTGGGAAAACAGCAGCATATTTATTATGTATACACCACTTTGTTTTCAATGGTATTTCTATTCAAAGAAATCTTAAGTCTTTTACTTGATTCGAGTGCTCCTTGTTTGCCAACAATCCAGGAACATACTCTTCCGCCTGCTGCCACTGTTTAAAATGTCTGCTGATATTATCATTGCTCACTTAGCCACAAACACTGTTTTCATCTGAGGATCTGATGGAGAATAAATTCAACTGGGTCAAATGCCAAAACGTCATGGTTTGACTTATTTGATATTAATATATGACACCACTACCTTTCCGTTGACACTCTTTCTTCTCTGATTTATCTAATACTTTTTGAAGTACTGACTCTGTGACATTCTGTATAAATGTCTGTTGGTGTGTTACAGCAACATCAACCTCTTTTTTATCTGCTTACACAGTGGTGACTACTGTTTGATGTCAGCAGGGGTCATGAGAGTGCCACAGCAACCCAGTCCCCATAACCTTGGTTTTTACATTGAACAATGCAAATGCAGCATATTACAAACATAGTCAGTGTAACTAAAATATATCACCACATTAATTAAGATTACATGGAGGATTATTTAATATAAAAAATAACGATTGAATAACAAATCAGTAATTAAAATATTGCTAACTGAAATCCTTTCTTTCCTTCCTTTCTTATTGAACTATATTATTATTATTATTATTATTATTATTATTATTATTATCATTAATAATAGTAGTAGTAGTAGCAGTAGTGTTAAGGATATTAGGTTTAAAAGGCAACATTCAGACAGCCTTGTGAAATGTCCGCTGCCCAATTACTGTGCTTGATAATTATGATACCATTTCAGTGTAATTTCTGAAGTTCTTGTATTTTACTGGAATATTTCAGTTTCATGCTACTTTATACTTCAGCTCTACTACATTTCTGAAGGAACTTATTCCACATTAAGGTTTAACTTCCTTTTGCTTTTGGCACTTTAAATACATTTTAATGATAATACTCCTGAAGCGTTTGAATTAAAATTAAAATTTTACTTGTAATGGAATATTGTAATATTGAAGCATTTTACTTAAGATAGTAGTAAGAAGAAGAAGTAATAAATTGCTGGAATACTTCACCTCCACCACAAAAACATACGGTATGCTGTATATCGTGTTTGGAGGATCAGAGCCTGGTATTTATTTTGTATACGTATATGTTCAATATGTAAATTGATTAAGTAAATCAAACCAGCGCAAGCTCATTGGCTCGTGCTCTAAGCTCCGCCTCAGTGATGAACAGGCGCGTGACATCCGAAGGAAACCCGAGTAAATACTCACGGACCCAACGACCGGTGCTGCGCGTGCTGTTGTACCCGGCGTGTCTCACAAGCTTGTTTGGGAAGCTCACCTGGCTGCCGCTGATGGAAACCAGACAAGGTGAGTCATTGTCGGCTAACGTGAAAGACGAAACTTTTTATTTGGCAGACAGACGTTATTTGCGGTCAGTGTAGTGCTTGTTTGTTTGCTGTTGATCTGATAATGAGCTGAAGTTGAATGTAGGCTGCACACGTCACTGTACGGAGGTTGGAGGAGTGTGGAAAGAAAATAGCATAAATCAGAAAATACTGGAAAGGTTAAAAAATGCAGGTTTGGAGTGATGACTTCTAGCATAGATTATTTCAGTTTGCTGTTGCTGAATGTTCTCTCATATAGCCTCTTACGATTCTTAAAACTGGGCATGTGTCATTTATTGAGCTGAAGAGATTTCTCGTCCATTAGGCCACGTTAAAGAAGCAAATAAACAGACATGAAGAGTCAACACATACACAGTGGTCCAGTGTGCAGTTGGCTTGTGTTACTGTTTATTCAAGACAACACGGAAACTCCACACCAAATGAAGTTCTGTGGCAGGATACTGTTTCCTGACTCAGAGGCTGTCTGGTGGTTTAATACATGAGTCTTCAGGTATTTCTGGTATTTAGTGGTGGTTCAGCTAAGTGCCAGTTTTCCCACAATTTTCCACCACTCTGAAATCAATTAAATTGCCCTGTTATCCATGCATGCATGATTATGTGTGAAATTGCTTTAAGTGCCAATGTAGTCTATGATGTTCAGAATTACTAAATGGTGCTGTAAAGGCAGTAAGTTGTATTCTTGTTTAGGCCTATTGCTGTTTGGTGCAACCATTTTTTTTTTTTTTTTTTACTAAGAATGGTTAACTACTGATGATTTAAATGGCTCTACATCTGTGCAGTCAGTGGGATAAGTGTTTGGTTGTACAGGTAATTAATTGCTTTCTATTGCATTCCAAGTCTGAATGGGTACCTGTTAAAGCCAAGGGGGGGCGGGGGGGGGGCGGTGAGGCTTTGGGGCCAGAGATGGAGCAGGGCAAAAAGACTCTTATTGTCTGTGAAACTACAGGATAATTTTCATTTATTATGGGAAAACTTTGTTAACATTGTAATCCATCTATTTGTGTTATAACAGCTAAGGCCTGTGAACTACTCTTTATAACTCTCCCATGTAAATGCAGCTGGGATAACAAAGTTCAGTCTTGGATTAAATATATATGGTTTATATATAGTATGTACAGTATTGCTGCTGTTGGGCCATACTGCGGGCAACTTGGCCTCCGGTTTAGCTCCAATTGATTTTGTAGCCATATGACCATCCCCAGGCCTCTGATTTAGCATAGCCACATGACCACTGGGCCAGATGGGAATCTTGTGACCAAAGGTATTTCACCCTGGACAAAAAGAAGGGGGGAAGACACAGAAAGGAGAGTAAAAGAAGGGGAGTGTTGAAATGTACATGATATTTGTTAAATATATCTTCCAAAGCAAGCAAAGCAAACCAGACAGCCTATGAAATACACCAGAGCGGCCTAATGAGTGTCTGTGGCTTTGATGTGGAGTCTTTGAAATTAATGTAATGTAAACTTTAGACTTGAATGATATTGAGTGAATGATATCATGCTTATGTTTTACACTGAAATCTGTTTACCAGTTTACTAGTCAGTTTTACCACAAGTTAAACTGTGGAACTAGAAGGAAATGACTATGACTGAAACAACACTGGCCATATTCTGGACTGCTTCCTCCTGTAGTGCTGCAGTATGGTGTAATGAGATGTCATCAGTTTCCAAAATATTTAGATTGCTCAATAACCTTGGTTATTCTTGCTTAGTTGTGCAAAAGATCTCATTGTTAACTCACACAAGCACAGATTTGCTGCAATTCTCTTTACATTGCAAGAATTGAACGTATCCTTTTTGAAGAGCTCAAAGAAGTTCAGATCTGTGCCACAAAGGGTCAAACATCAGATTTCCTGTTCCTGTGCAAATGCAAATTCACATAAGCTGCCTGCACCAGCTCCTGTAACGAAACAGACCTAACTATTATCCATTTAATGGCAAAGCTGGAGTGGAGAGTGGAGAAGCACCACATCCCCGTGTCTGTGTATATTGTAACCAGTGTTCTTGTCTCCTCTCACCCTGCTGCCTTGCTCTGCTGCAGAGCTGTACTCTAGTGTTCTGAGTGAAGCAGTGGTGGACTGGGGCAGCATGGGTCCTGGAGAGGAATGGGTTAACTCAGCCACACGCGAGGGAGAGCAGGGTAAGACTCAACTCTCCCAGATGAAAACATAAATCCGCACTGAATCACACGAAGCAGAAAACCACTGCGGCACACTGACCACATTAGCAGGTGTGTGTTATCGAGGGCGAAACACCTGAAGTGACGGTGACTGAGGTGCAACATGTTGGAAAGTTTGTATTCAGAAAAATCAGTGCAGCAGTACCTTTCTATTTCATGTGATTGAGTGTTGATTTACCTACCAATAGTCAGGAGAGTCGGTGAGTGTGGTCTGAGTGGGTAAACTGACAACAAGGCAGGGATCATATCACTTTTAAAAAAAAAACAGGAACTATACTTGATTCATTTCTGTGAGATTTTTTTGTAGGACTGTCTGCGACAAAAGATCAGGGTATGTGACATTTGATACCTTGACTGACACATAAGTTCTCTGTTCTCATCCAAGTTTCCAGCTGCAGTGAACTGCTGTCATCAGTGAAACAGCCCTGTTACACCCACTGTACATTACCTGCCCAGCACCAAATGTATTTGTTGCCCCTAGGACAATAGATAAATGACAAAGGCAGACAAAGTTAGCAGCTAGCTAGTGAACAGTAAACCATTTAGAGATCAGATCAGAGTTGATATACAGTAGAGTGAATATTTTTGCATGACAATAACAATTTGCATGTTCACCACATCAGCTCTGTAAGGTGATAATGCAGCGCTGTGTGTCAGGGTCGTGTTTACAGCTTGTTTAACTGGCCAAAAAAATCACTTAGTGCAGCTTGAAGTCATTAAATCAGTTTGCTAGTCATCAAATATATAACAGGTATAAATGAGACCAGGCTTGTATGTTATAGATTATGGACACATCATTACATGAGAACTAAGCTGAATCAAGCCATTTCTGTTTTGTGTAAGTCACTGAAAATGTTACTTTGCTCAGGTTTGAATCGGGGTAGGTTTTTCCCCTCCGTTGAGAAATCGGTTAGACAGAACTCATACGGGGAAGACTCGACTCCTGGGGTCCAAAACGGTGAAAACCTGACAGAATGGGGTAAAGCTTCACCACCAGGGGAGGATCAGTGGGGTCAGACATCAATGTCCCTCTCTGACGACTGGGTCATGTCCACTACTTGGGATATGCAACTGGACAGCACAGGTGAAAAGGGATGTAGATTAGAGGCCGTAGAGTAGACAATCTTTCACTCTGGTTGAACATTTACTTGTCAGCATGCTTGACCTCTTTGGGAATTTAAAGTCACACCAGACCCACTGAGGATCCTGAGGTCAAGTCTAACCTAGAGACATGAAATGCAGCAATTAAAGAAACAACAAACACATTGTGGGTATATTATAGGCAGATGTTGGTAATGTTAGACTTGATGTTTTTAATTTGACTATTTTAAGGCCAACTAATAAATAAGTAAAAAGGATTTGTTATTCCCCCACCAGTATTTTAATCTTGGCAGTGTAGATAGATCACATTGAGCCTAAATAAAACAACAACAACAAGATAATATAATTAAACTGTCAATTAAATAATTAAAAGTTGACTAATCAAAACAATGAAAGCATTTTAGAGACTTTATTTTTGGTGTATAGTCAATATATTCTGAGAGGGGTAGAATGTAGTGGAGGCGACTTTAATATATCTAAAGTCCTGCATTATAGTTACCTCCGCCAAAGAGGCTATGTTTTCACCTGTCTGTTTGTTGGTTGGTTTCTTCAATTGTTTGTCAGCAGGATTATGCAAAAAGTGCTGAGCCAATTTGCGCCAAATTTATGGTAGGGGGCATGGGCCAGGAAACGATCCACTAAATTTTGGAGCAGATCCATATCATTTACTATGAATTAGTGTGGTGTAAGTTGTTTGACACTGGCCATGGCGGAGGTCTGCACTGTAGCGCATTTTCTAGTTTAATTTTTAAATGTAAGACAGATGTATCTTAATTATAATCCATGTGTATGTATAATGTACATGATCAGTGCCGACTGAATTGATAAGGTTTCAGGGGGCGGTTCTTCATCACCTAATCATTTTTTAAAAATTTAAAATGATGAAATTACACATTTTACCATGACTCATGTCAATGAGTCAACATATTAAAGCACAGCAGATATCAATTCCACCAAAATTTAAGGTTCTGATCTTTAATAATAGGCTGTGAAATTGAAAGCACCATGGTCAGATGTGTTAAAGTCCCGTAATTACTACCCGGGGGGGGGGGGGGGGGGGGGGGGGGGGGAACTAAAATTGTTGTTGGTTTCACGTTCTGGGTCAGTTAACTTGAATGTTCCATTAATTCATCTCTTTGGGTCTATGTTAAATGTTCAACCAAAGTGTAATGTTTCCTTAAAATGTAGTTTTGACCCTTACTGTCCCAGAACACTATTAGCAGAAGGTGTATGCTGGTGATATGCGTGTGCAAGTTTTGAACCAATGTATAGTCCAGACCATAACTATTTGGACATAGTGGACAATTACACATATTTGTTCTCTAGGCTCTAAACTTAAACACAATCATTTTGAAATAAAGTGCCCATCCACAAGACTTGTGCTCCTTCGTCTACCAGCTCATTAGTCATTTTCTAGTTTTCCTGTGCACCTGCTTTTTTTTTTTTTTTAGAGTGAACCCAACGGTCGATATCTCTCTGATGATTGATCTTCACCTGCACAATCACCTCTTCACTCCTCATGACGGACAACCTTACCTCAGTCTGAATGGCAACTCTCTCAATCAACTCCGAGTCGCGTGAGAGCTAATGTTGAAACAACATGCAGCTGCCCAAGAAACATTTAGTAGCCAGTCACTTTTGAACCCCTAAACTTTGGGCACCATGATTTAAAAGCACTGTATCTCCCACGCAGTTAATATATACTGATGTTAACCTACTCAAATTAAAGCTGAAACTTGGCACTTAAGTATATATTATTTTATTTCAAATTGAATGTGCTGAAAAAGAGAATGTGTAACTGTCCAAATATAAATCTGAAGTGTAAAGGAACAAAAATATCATAAAAAATAGTTGTATGTCGCATGTCCACAATGCTTTAAAATGAAACCTCGATTGACCCCGTCCCTGCAGTTTAGTAAAGAGCTGTTATATGTGGTTGTGGCGTAAAAAGTGTCAGAACAAGTTTTCGCAGGACCCAAGCTTACTTTGAATCCTGCTTTGACGGTTGATCTAACCAATTTTACACAGTGAACCATATTAACTTACAAGTATCAGCATTCTTCTCATACCAGTGACATGGCCACAGTCTATCACAGCAGAGGACAAATGACAGAGGCGAAATTCTAAAACAGATCATCAGATTTTTCACTAATTTTATTTTAAAACTAACCATGACGTGTTGTACGTTCGCTCACACACTGTGCCTTTTGTTTCCATAAATGACAAACTGTAACACATGTGACTCTCACAAACATGCATCTGTCTGACATGCAACAGAAACTGAACACAGAACTTCCACTGGTAGGAAATATATAAATCAGTGCTCTTCGTGGTATTTCCGAGGTCTTCTCATGGCTGTGTGAGCAGGGACAAATAATCAGATTTCTCAGTGCACTTAGACATGAAAAGCTTCCATCTGAGCCACAGGGGTTTTAAAAAATCTGATTGTCCTGCTCCTGTGCAATGTAGGCAGAAATAGCTCCCTGCTATAGAAAAGTCTGACTTGTGCTGGTGCATGTTGTGCTTGAGTTTAGTGCTGCTAGCTGCAGTTGTTTGAATTGTGCGTCTTTGCTGCATGTGGTGCTGCTGAGCCCTTTTTAACCATAGACTTTCAAGCAGTAACTGTTTTGGTAACAGCAGAATTGTCTTTACTAACCTCACTCTGTCCTCTCCTGTCTTATAATGCGGCCACATCAAGAGAGAGGACACCTCACTGCAGGTACGGTAGTAGTTCATCTCCATTCTGTCAAAATGGTGTTTTTTTATATATATATTTTAGTTTACATGCAAAACTTTTACAGGTCCAGAACAAATACGCTGATATTATGACCTACTTGTATTTGCATTTATCGGGTTGTGTGCGCGCAGTCGTCCTGCCATTGCCTTGCCTGTTGCTGGGTGGTACCTGTCTGGTCAGGATTAGCCTGCAACAATATCAGGCTAATCAGACAGAAGCAGTCGCAATGTGTAAAGCTCCTGCTATCTTGTGTTGGTTGTGTCTGGGTCTTTATTTAGTCAGTATCTCTAAGTCTCAGGTGTTAAACTTCATGACAGGCTCACTATACTTCTACTGCATCTAATATAAGAATCAGTCACCTGAGGCTGATCAGCTGACACCGTGTACCAGCTTCATTGTTCAGTTTCATTCATAGAGACACTGGAAATGATTTCTTTCTCTTTGAATTAGTGGTTTAGTGCAGGATCATCATCTATACTGCGCGCTGGTGTTTGTGGGTGTGGCAGTGTAATTGTGTTTATGAGACGCAGTCTTGTCTGCAGGAGATATAAGTATAGTGTGCAAGTCGTATAATTAGGTGTTTCAGTAAGAGGCAGAAACAGGCAATCTCTTCTAAAGACTGTTTTCTAAATGTTTGAAAGAAAACATTTTCTTCATGAAACTGTCTTGCAGAATTTCTTCCACTCCCAAAATTTATTTTATTTGTTGTATCTTGTTTGGATAGATTGGATTTGATCTCTGTGATTCCCTAAATCCTCATGCTCCTCGCGTAAACAAACTTGGGTTTTACATAATGTCTTTCATTTTGGTTCAAGACTTCAAATTCCTCGTATTTCCCGTTACTCACACAGTAAACAACTTAAATCAGTTATTGCAGAAATGAAATTCAGTCTGCCGACATCTGAAAGCATCTTGTTTATTTGTATGTGTGTGTGTGTGTGTATGTGTTAGTGTGTATGTGTGCGGCAGTCTGTAGTGTCAGTCAGTAGAGTTAAAGCAAGATAATCCACATCAGTTAATCCAGATTAGAGCTCTACAGGCTGCAGCCACAGATTACATAACCATCAGACAGAGGCGCAGACAGATATATGGACACACACACACACACACACACTCGCACAGACAAAATAAAACAGGGAAAAGAACAGAGATACACACACACACACACTAAAATACAGGGAGGTAAAGTAGCTGAAAGAAAAGCACAGATGAGCAGCGTTTCCTCCAGAAATACGTGGCACTTCTATGACGTTGACTTTTTTTGGGGGGGGGGGTTATAGTTTCTTGTTACAAAAGATGGTAATACAAAATGTTTTGAATAGACACATCAATTAGTATATTAGAGCGAAACAATCCTGTTCGTTTTTCTGTTGTGGGTATCTGCTTAAACCCAATGATTTGTTGCAGGAGAGAACAGAAATCTGCAGGATAGAGGAAAATACTGTAGATTATTATTTTCATACTGGTGAATAATGGACTGATGCTTAATTGTAGGAAGTGTTTGACTTGACTGACTCCACAGCTCTCTCTCTGTGAACATCAAATCTGTATATCTCCAGAGAGACCGTCTTTTTCTTTTTTTCTTTTTTTTTTAAATCAAATTAGTATTTTCATTCTTTTTTTTATATATGTGTGTGTCTCCTTCACTGTCTTCCAGGTGCGTTAATGAACATTTCACCATGTGTGTGAATATTTAATGCAGGTTTTCTGGACTCTGAGCCACTGAGAGAGGCCGATGAGGATTTGGTATCAGAAGTCAACTTAAACAACTCCATGATGACAGAGGAGGAGAGAGAGGAGATCCAGCAAGAACTGGCTAAAGTATGAACACACACACACACACATATACACACACAATTTGATTGTACAAAGACAGTAATATACAGTAAAAGGATGAGTGCCTGTTAAGTAGCTCTTTGTGTTTGTGTGTGTCCAGCTGGAAGAGGAGATCAATACATTGAGGCAGGTTTTGTCGTCCAAAGAGAAGCAGCACGCAGAGCTCAAACAGAAACTGGGCATCACCCCTCTGAGCGAGCTCAAAAACAACTTCAGCAGAGGCTGGCATGACATGCAGAGCTCCACGGCGTAAGTTTAATATGTGTGTGTATGTGAGAGAGAAAGAGAGAGAGAGAGAGAGAGAGAGAGAGAGGGTGTGTGAGAGAGAGAGAGAGACTTCAAGACAGAGGAAGAGTTTGTAGGTTTAAGTGCAGGGATGGAAGTGTGTGTTTGAGTGTGTGTGTGTGTCCATTCTTATGGCAGTGGTGGTAAAGGCAGCAGCACATGACAGAATGGCTTTTCTGTTTGCTGTCAACATAGATGCCCTTTACAGGACACACACAAGGAGAGTAAACACAAAGAGCAGGTATTTATTCATCTTTTAAATCATCCTCCAAACTGAGCATCAGAGGTATCAGAAAACCCAATTAAAAGGACATAAGCAGCACAGCATGCGAGTGACTTGCTATCACTGCTGTGTTCACTGTAACAGACATCATGAATCTGATTAAAAACACATCAAACAGTGCTAAAGGCTACTTTTGACCTCACAGCACAATTAGCTTTATATGCCCTCTCCAGTCTTTGCTCTGCGTTTTCATTTGCAAACCAAACAGAGCAACATTTTAGTGAACAGCTTTTCCTTTTTAATGTTAAATTCAAAAGACATGCTTTCATATCTACTAAAAAATTGAATAAAATGATAAAAAATCACTTAATTATGATATACCGTATTTTATCATGGAGGCATATTTCAGGATAGGACTGGTTTGAAGAGTTAACATGTTTAGTCTTTTATTGTGAAGAGAAATAATCAAATTTCCTCATTAGACAGTCTGTGCTGAGCTCTTGTCTGGACACATGGAGACGAGAGAAAAGCAAGAGGATCGTCTCTACACGCCTCCCTTCTTATCCAGTTACATTTGAGCCTGAGGATCACTTTACACACACAGCCTCCATCCTCATCTATAATGAACCAGTGTGACCACAGGAGTGTAAGAAGCTGGAGAGACACAGATGCCTGATTGGTTAAAGTTGCAATTTATAATCCAGATGCAAACTAAAGGGTCCACACGCCACCAAAATTTAAAAGACGAGTTTATATGTGTAAAAAAAGCTGATGATATGAGTGATAAAGGGCAATGATGAGTGATAGTGATGAGTAACAACACAGAGTAAATGAGAAGTAGTGACTTCCTGCATTAAAACAGTGTGTAGTGGATGATTTCAAGGCTGTGCATGATAATTAAGAGGATGGCTCAGCATTATGAAACAAGTTGCCTGGGACTTTGATGAGGCTGATGATAAATAAAAGTGTGTGTGTGTGTGTGTGTGTGTGTGTGTGTGTCAGCTACAAGAAGACTTCAGAGACGCTGTCCACAGCGGGGCAGAAAACCACAGCAGCCTTCAGCACCCTCGGCACCGCCATCACCAGGAAGTTTGGAGACATGAGGTACAGAATATCTCTCATTTCATCACAGATTAAAATCTCCCAGTGCTCACCTGTCACCGACCTTTTACTGACGTCAGCAGCTTGCCTGTGTTGATTGATCTATCATGCAAACACACAGTCACTGGGAAATCTCAACTGGACTTACTTCAGATTCTGACGATGAATCTAAAGCAAACCCAATTTCCATAACACACTAATTACATCAGTTTTTGAATTCTTCTCCTTCACACACATACGATAAATGCTTTTTGAATCTCTGCATCATCCTGTGTCCTTGTGGCTAGAGTCCCAGTCTCTTTCAAACACCACGCGTCACCCTGCTCGTGTGTCTTTTGCAGCCCTGGCTGTGCATTTGCTCATCATAAACGGTCCATGATAGACTCATCTGCACAAACCAACCCAGTATAACCCAATCCACCCATCCACCACTAATGAATCCCCACTTTTATCCAGCTCACAGCCATGTTTTTATTTGTGCTTTCCATCTCTGAGTTTTGACTCTTGCTCTGTCCAGTTGAGACGAAGCTGAGATTATGTAAGACCACTTTAAGCTGCTTTCTGTGGGAGCTGGAGGACTAGAAGCCAAGTCTGTCTCCCTCAGTCACTTTCTTTCCCTTGTTGTCTCTCTCTGACGCTCTGTGTTGCTCTGTCTGTATTATTGTGTGTGTGAAATGAAAAGAGCATTTGTGTTATATGATGAGCGAAAGCTGCAGAATGTGGGCGTGCGTGTTGCAGGGAGTGTGTCCAGTATGTGCAGGAGAAAACACGAGGAAAGCGTTCGAAGGTCAGGGAACAAAGCTGATCGGAGAAACGGCAACATGTCAACATACTGGGAATGCCGGCAGATTTAAGCAGAGAGAGATTTTATTTCTGTGATGTTTGACAAATGAGTCATGATGTGTAATTTAAAAGTTTCTTCAAGGCTGTCATTTATAGTGACATTGCTGCTTTTAGTGTTGACCTGTAGAGACTCTGTGACTGGTTGATTGAGTTCTTGATGAACTGCAGTTTGATGTGTTTTTTGGGATACAAATTACAAAAAGGAAACACAGTGTATTATCTTTGGTGTATTCCAGCATGGTTGGTCTAGAGTTACTGTTCCCACGGAGGTATGTTGTGTGCGAGTAAGCATGTTTGAAATTCCTGCCGTGGATATGCTCAAAGTGTGTTCTTGCATGTAATTTTGTCCCATCAGTTTGCTTATATATCTGTTTATCCCACTAACCTGTCATGCATTTAGTTTTTATTGACATTGTGTCCTGTTGCATTAATAAATAATTCACTGTAATAGTAATTCCCATTATATGTGCAACAAATCGCTTTTAATACTGTATTTAGTTATCTCTCTAATGTAACATACATGTAATTAAAGCTCACTGATTCTGAAAGGTGAGTTTCCTACAGTGTAAAATTTACCATTGGACAAAGTAACACAGAAGCTGTTTTTCATCCTTGAAAAATCCAATTCTGCTGCTTTGTTTCCACCTCAAATCAACCACAAACATCACATATTTGTCATTTTTGTGCAGTTAAAGGTCAGATTTTCCTCTTTGCACAGTGTGTCTGTGCCACTGTTGTTAATTCTGTGTGATTTTCTTGCAACAACTTAACTCTTTATTCCTGTCTTTGCAGTGTGTGTGTGTGTGTGTGTGTGTGTGTGTGTGTAAACAGAGATTGGTTTAGAGTTTTCTTCAAATGTGTTTAACTTCAGTAGAACAAGTACATTTCAGTACAATCAGGTTCCCCACAGGTCCACAGAAATGTTGTTCACTTCTTCTAGTTAACTTCCCCCAAACAGATGTGTCTGCTTCCTTGTGGTGACCTAGACTGAAATGAAAATAATATTAATACCAGTGGCAGTTTACCTTTCATAGCGAACTAGTTTGTATCAATAAGATAAATTAGATGAACTCTTTCAAAGTGAATTTGAAAGTGTAACTGTGAAGCTGTCAAAGCATCTTTAAATGTTTTCCATCTTCCTCCATGCTTCCCAAGGTCCAACTCCATAGGGTAAGAGTCACACAGCTGATTATGCCTCATTAGTTGTTCCCTAACAAAGCAGTCTTAACTCAATAGATCGCTAACTGTTTGGTACAGTATGGACTCAGACAGTCAGCTGAGTCCTGTTGAGTAAATGCTACTGCCATGCTGGACTGCAGTTCTCAGTCAGGTGCTTGTCTCAGCACAGAATCAGATCAAATTGATTTTGGTCTCTGATAAACCAAAATAAATTGTCTCAATGAATCATGTGAACAAGGTGTCATGAACTCTCCAGCACATCCTTGTAAGTTGCAGGAAAGTGCTAAAGCTAAGCTAACACAGGCTGAGACTGATGCAGACTTTTGTTTTTTACTTTTGAAATATTGATTGTTTTAATGCTGAGAAGAAGATAGATCGATGAACTTAACTGTGAGTTGCAGCCTTGTATGAAGTCATACCAAAGATGTAATATCCGTTTGTCTGTGACGAGGTCGGAGCTGTTACCGACAGTCAGTTTCCCCACAAAACCAGTTTGTACCTTGCAGGTGTATCTTTCCCCTTCAGCCTTGTCTTTCATTCCATCATCTGTATGAGAAGAAGATGTGGGACTTAACTCTGCATGTGCACAATATCAAAAGGAAACGTACAAAACAATGCTTTCTCTTGCTAGCTCTGTCGGCCAGCTCTACTCTGGCTTTGTGTATGTGTGTGTTTGTATGTACGTAAGATAAGATAAGATGAACTTCATTAATCCCACGGGGGAAATTTGTAGCCTGTGCTAATCATTAACTCCTCTCTCACCACGCTCTCTGGGGACAGCTACTCTATCAGACAGTCTATGAGCATGCCCACCATGAGGTAACCAGTCTGTGTAATTTTTATGCAATAATTTACTGAACTTTTATCTAAATTTATGTTGACTTAATATTACAGTGCTTATATACATTAATGTGCTGCTTCCATTGATATTTATTTAATTAATGGCTGTTTGTCAGTGTCAGAATGATATGGCGAGTATTTTGGCTGTGAAAGCTAAAATACCTGACACCTCTTTACGCCCCTGCTTTCATATTGTTTTCAGTTGCCTTCACTAGCTCAGGTCACCGAAGTTTACATGTATGCCAATTCAGAAAAAAAAACAGTTATATCGAGTATTAATCAGTTTATAAACTCATTCACAATTCAGTACCTTACATGGTCATTTTTAACAGACAGCACATTAGTGATTTATTATAAGTAACTGAGACGTTCTAATATAGTAAACACTGTTCTCTGTTTCGTCTTCACAGAAACTCTCCCAGCTTCAAGTCTTTTGAGGAGAAAGTTGAGACCACAGTGTCCACTATCAAGGTAAACAGTGTGTGTGTGTGAGAGAGAGAGAGAGAGAGAGAGAGAGAGATTGCAACTGCTTTAGGAAGTGATGAAAGACTGAAACTTTTTTTTTATTTTAAAAATCATCGATGCCATATCTCTAAACCACCTACAACTTTTAGTAATAAATCTCGTATCAAAGAGCAAAACACTATCATCTGTGTGTAATTGCTAGTTTACACTCTGACTCTTGCAGTGATCCTGCTGGTGATTTATACTCACAGTGATCCTTATTCTTTATGGGCCTACAGTGTAGAAAAAGGTTAAAAAAGTGTCCTCATAGATCTCTTTCTCCAAGAACCTTACACTGGTATTGCTGCTTACTTCATTCCTATTTTGAGACTTTCAGTTTTAATATCATGCCAGTGACAACAGGGTCATCTTTAAAAATGTACACACTGCTTGAGTTCATGAAAGCTTCTCAAAGACAGTGTTAAAACAGAAGTTGTTGCTGAAAAGTTCACATATAGGCTCAGTTATCTATCCAAAAACACTTTTACACTCCCTTCAAATGCCTGACAGTGTTGGTTTTTATAAAACTCTGCCACCTTGAGCCCATTCGCAGCACAACAATGGTAGTACAGCAAGGACAGAGATTTATTTTCTGATGAAGTTTTTTGCATTTTCTTTTTCTTATACCAGACAAAGGTTGGTGGTACAGCGACTGGAGGAAGCTTTGAAGAAGTCCTCTCATCTGCAGCAAATGCCAGCTCTCAGGACACGCCCACTAACAACTTGACGGACAGCTCTGAGAGGCCGTGTTAGAGGTGCATCCAAACCACCAGGCAGGACTAAAAAAAATACAGGAACTCTTATCACTGCTGTATCACAGCACTTTATCACGTATCTACCCAAAGCTCTGACTGAGATATTACAGAATACTTTCATTTGAACAGTGTTGATGTTTTTCCAAACAATCCCACATATGTTGTAAAGTCTCCTAACACTTGGATGGAATTTCCTGCAACCCTAAAAAGCTTAGCCTTGATAGAAAATTGACACCATGTCATGTTTTGACCAGGTTTAGAGCTGGGTGATCTGTTGTTGAACGGCTCTTGTCATACTTCAGTGTAGTGGATTTTTTCATCAAAGACGAATGTCACCTGCCCTCCTGTGGCTCCAAACCATGTGAACAGATGAGGTTGAAGTGGTAAATCAGTGAAGCCTTAGTTAAAAAAACAATGACAAGCAAGGATGAACAGGTTCAAAATCAGCCCCCAGGAGGCAGAAAGAACCATAACCCAGGGTTTCTGGTCTGTATTTCTGTCACTTTAGTTGAACGTTGCATGGTTTGGCTCTGGCTCATCTCATTACCCTGTCAGCACAAGTGAAAAGCTCAGCTGGAATCCCTCAGACACAAAACAAGAGGTTATTGATTCCTTCTTTTGCTATGTAAACTCTTCAGATGTGGAACTTTGGTAGATATTCAACACATTTTACAGTGCTGCTCCACAATATCACTACCACTCTTAACCTTCATACCAAAAAATACAAAACTGCATTTTTAGGTTATTATTAGAAATATGTGTTTGATAAAAAAAAAAATATATATATATATACATATATATATCATTTTATGTTACATTTTAGTACTTTTAACAAAATGTGTATAACCCAAGCTGATGTCATCAACCCAGAACTCCTGGGTGAAAAAGTTGTATAAATGATTTTACACTAAGACGGGACTTCTTGCTCTTGCAGGGAATCTGCAGGTTTTGAAAAGCATTGCATTCAGTTTCCAAAGAAAAAAAAAAGAAACAGGGGTCTTAGAAGGTATTAAAAAGTCTTAAATTTAAGGCTTCTTTTCTTGTTTTGTCCATCCATCAGTCCAAAAATCATTACTATAATATATTACAAAAAACAAACAAACAAAATCTCAACATTTTGTTGCTAAAAACAGAAAGTTTGACATTTTTGCTTGAAAAATGTTGACAATTATTGATTACGAAGATAATTTATTTTATTTCAATGAACTAATAGATTAAATGCGACTAATTGTTGCAACTCTAAAAATAATTCATTATTTTTAATTGGTTAATCATCCATACTTTCTGCTTGCCCAGGTTAAATTAATTAAATTAATTATTTTATAAATACATATTGCTTGGAAGCACCATAAAACGTGATGGAACTCAGTGAACCCTGCAGAAACCCTGTCTTAAGATTTTATTATAGCACCTAAAACTATATTTTGTGATCGTCACAAATCCATCCAGTCATACAACTTTCTGAAAATCACACATCTGCTGGGGCCTGTTTGCACGCTGGATCATACTAATGGCACTTATTTTTAGTCTGTTCATTCACACTATAGGACAAACTAGTCTATAGGAAGCAATGAAACACTGTGAATGTGCCATGTGCAGTGAAATATGGACAAATACTACATTTTGTATTTCATGTGTAACTGTAATGATGACATACAGGTTTGGTTTTCTCATGACTGTCTACTAAAAAACAATCTGACTAATCACTTTGGAAAATGTAATCTGATGCTGGATCTAGCAAATGCACACTATTCTCTGCAGATAAGACAGCCTAGACAAGGGAACTTTATTTTGAAAACCCTGATTTAGCAAAGAATGATTACAGCTGTAATTGAACAGATTTTAACCTGAGATGGTCCAGAAAACTCAAAAGTTTTTCTGTCACCTGCTGACTCACAGGATAGAAAATCTGATGCCTATTGCTATGTCACTGATACACAATATATAACATTAATACAACATCATACTGTAACTGCTGCGTAGAGAAGCTGTAATACAATCCTTGGCTGTAATGTGACCCTGAAGTCCAGCACATGCTGTTATTGTACCATGAGAAGGTTGGTGCCACACAAGATAAAAAAAAAATCTTATCACGTGTCCTTTTGGTCTCGGTGGCCACTGCATAACCTGCCATCAAAGTAGCATTCTGCTTTCAATATATAATCTGTTTTGTCATTTTTCTCATACTTTCTTTCTCCTGCTAGACTTTTATTTTCTTTGTTGTGGTTTGAGAATATGCCCAGAATCACTTCATGTTTAATTCAGTCTGTCCATGAAATGTATTTATTGAATTAATGTCAGCATTCAAAGAACTGAAAGATTTTAGCAAGAGAGGATTGTCGGCTCTGACCTGTTACCAAATAACTGAGGTAATGCATGTTCTGTCATTGGAAAATGAATTACAATTTATAGTTTATATTTGTACATTAATGTTGGCTTGAAATCAAATTGCACTCATCACTAGTTTAAAGACCTTTTTACAAAAGCTTTCACTAAAACTAAAACCCAAAGACATAAACTGTGACATTCAAATAAAATTGCTGTGTTTAACATATTCAGCTGTATTCATACAATTAATTACACACCGTTATAAATAACTGTTTTTATGGCTGATGTGTTGATATTAAAGATTGTTTAAACCAAATATCACAGATGACTGTTTTTACAATAAACACTGAGAACTGTGACTGAACCTGTTGAAAACAAACAGTAATAAATGTAACAACTTGCAACTGAAGCTCTATGCAACATCTTAATATGGTAGTTTAAAAAATGATTGACTTAAAATAATCAGTTTTCTTTTGTCAGCAAAGCTTCAAGTTCCTGAGGATGTTGTTGATGTTACGGCTACCAACAATGTAGATTTCTAACATGTTCTGTATATCGTAGAATGAGAAAATGCATTAACACTAGCAGCATAAGTGGAATAATGCTGAAGCAACATTGTCATTTTTTTTTATGGAAACCTCTTTTATGTCATAGCTGCCAGATAATATATATTTAAAAAAACAAAATGTCTGTCAGTGGATTTGAAACATGCAATAAAGCCTTTTGATGTATAGAACATGTTGGGCATAGTTCCCCAAATTTCTCTTGACATTAACAGTAAATAATGTGATAATGTCAGAACATCATCTTGAAATTTATATAGGTTTTTACACTTTCAATCCATTTACAGAAACATTTCACTATATTGTGTTGATATATTATCCGGCAGTTTTTGCATTAGTACCGGGCAGAGTGTATTTATTACAGATGATGATAGATAGTGATACTGTTCCTTCCAGGACAGCATGGATTAAACCTTGCAGCGGTGAACTGAAAGTCCTTCATTACAGCTGAACCAAGCTCAGACACACTGAGGTAAAACAGAAAAGACAACTGTCAATGGCAATCGAAATTCCCAAAATACAGTTTTTCCATATCCTCTCACGTGTCTGGTCTTATGACGCAGTCTTGCGTGCGCAGTCCAGTATTTCTGTCCCTCCACTAAAGAGGTGCTGGTGTGTGTGTTATAGTCAGGATGTGTGTGAAGTCGTGTGTGGCGGCTGCGAAGATACTGCGCCAGTGGTCTGCGAGTTCCCAGAATTCTTTGTGCCATCAGTTTTAGTCATGTGACGTCCTCTTTCTTCATTCAAAGAGCTGACCAGCTGGAGCACATCTGGGTGGTGGAAACGACCTGAGAACCAATAAAAGTATAAAAAGAAAATTATAATGGAATTTTGCTTCAAAATATGAGAAATATAAATTTTCATGTACCCGTTTGGTCTGTTGACTAACACACACAATGAATAAAACGTCTACACAATGTGTTTTTAATTGGCTGAGGCCTGAAATGACAACCCATTAAATCAAACTATAGTATTTCGAGATAGTAAACGAATGTAAAAGGGCTTCTCATTTTGAATTACAACCACACATTATTGACTGTCTTATCAAATCACTCTTTCAGAAATGTGTATTTACGATGTTTACAGAACAGCTCTGAACCATCGTCTGCACACAGGCTATCCCGGAGGCCTTCACTAACATGTTCAGTGAAGAAGAGGGAAACAGATGTGAAATGGAGAAGCAGATGGTTACTGATGACAAAGGCAAAAAGCACGACAGACCACAAACTTACCGTCGGTGGAGTCAAAGAATTCCTGAAGTCTTCCGGGCATTTCTTCTAACTCTTCATACTCATGAGCCTGCAGGATCATCTCCAGGAGGTCAAACTGTTTCACCAGCCTGGCCTCCGGACTGCTCTGGGTTTCATATTCCTGAAGATAAGACAAGTGTGTGTTACACATAAACATCCAGTTTAGTTCTGCTGAGCCCACTATTAGTTTAATTATTTACCTCCCACAGTCCATAAATCTCCTGTTTAAGCCCCTCTGGCAGAAGACCTGATAGATGTCTCATCGCTTCCTAAAAGAGATTCAAGGAGATATTATAAAAGTCAACAACAGAATGGCTTTGAACAGTCTCTTGTGTGTGGATATAATGCCAGTGCTGCTAGTCTCTTGCCTCTTCTCTCCTGTGTTTCTCTGCTTTACTGACGTTGTCTGACGGAGCAATATCTCCCACAATGCACTCTGCCATGTCGTGAACCAGAGCCAGCTTTATACACCTGAGGACAAACAGGTGTGCAGACAGGTAACTAATCAGACAGGACAGTGTGTCACAGCTTTATGGAGGATGTTAATAAATACAGAGCAAGTTGCTGTTCGGTGTCAGTAGATAATAACTTCTTTTTCATTTTGCAGACAACAACTTTAATTGATATTTAAATGTTCAATGCTTTAATCTTTACATTATATAATATGTTTTCCATCAATCAAAGGTGCATCAACACCGATGTTGTTGCCCAGCTGTGTGTATGACTCACCTGTCCTTGTCCACTGTGGGGTCGGTGATGGTCAGTGACATCATCGCCATGCGGTACATGTGGTCTGACACACTCTCTGGTTTCTTCACATTCCTGTACACCCAGCCGGTCCGTGGGACCCTCTACAGGTAACATCAACCACAACATACAAGTCATCAGTGGCACAGGGGAGAGGGAGGAAAAGATCTCATGACTAATTTCACAATCTTAGTGAATCCGCATTTGTATACACTCACTCCACTGCAGAAATCCATCAAAACAATTTTCTGTTTTCTGATTTTCTTTGGCTTTTATTATAGTAAACTGAATTTCTTCATGTTATGCACTGTTGGTTGAACAAAACAAGACATTTGAAAGGTCTTGAACACTTCCACTGCCAGGAAAAAATGTGAAAGAAAATTATAAATTATTTTGTTCAGGCAGCATTTCTTGACCCCACAAGAACCTTGTCAAATTTCTCGTCATATTGTTTAATCCACATCACAGGTTTCCACACTACAGTAATAGAGTGCTTTTTCTTGCTGTCATGCTGTCAAGCTGTAATGAGTTAAGTTGTAATGTGTGTGTGTGTGTGTGTGTGTGTGTGTGTGTATATGTATGAGTGGTGTGAGAGAGAGAGAGAGAGAGAGAGAATGATGAGCTTCACTTTTGTTAAGCCAAAAGGAAACGTCTTACTGTATTAACACTAACCAGCACCAGCATAACAGTTTGAACGAACAGACTGAGCCCCATTACACCCAGCCCCAGAGTTAAATTATTGTTCATTTTTGCATAGGCACACAATCCCCATAAAAGTCGCCTGAGTTTGAAGAAAAGTCTTACTTTAAGTTGTCCGATAAGTTTCATAAATTGCAGCATATTGTTCGTGCCGGCTGCTGTCTGCATCATGGTCGCCATTGCTGTCCGCCGCTAGTGTAACAGCTTCTCCGGCCACTATGTGGCAGTATAAACAACTTAATAAGCCAGAGTGAAAAGAGATACTGCACTTAAATCCTGGTCAGTGGAATTGTTTTTGTCTTGTTTTTTATGTGTGCATCGAAAGAATATTTCATTTTATAGTCTTTTGTCCTCGATGTGCACACGATATTTTAATTTCTTTACGAAAAGTATAGAAATAAGAAAAACTGTAGATGGCAGTAATGCAACAAGTGACGATGTAAGCGGCAAGAAAATCCTCGAAGAAGAAGCACTTAAACCGGAAGTAAGAGAAGCGGGAAATTGGAAAACGTCAACAAACCTTTGGTTCAGTAGAAGAGGAATAACATTTCCGTCAACATTTGCTCCACGCCGAAGATTTGCCAAAATGCTTAACAAGGCACCAAAATTGAAATATACTATTAAGACGAAAGCGAAGAGTAACATTAATATGGGACCGGCGTCAGAGGCGATGGTAGGAAACCGTTGATATTAATTCTGACTGTTCGCTTTGTTTGCGGCTAACTTTGCCAAGCTAGCCAACTTAAATAACAAGCGGATTCCTCCCTGTTTTTACAGATTGAACTGCTGACATTGTTGTTCCTGAACAGCCTGGCAGAGGAGGCGAAAGCCAAAGCTTTCGAAGAAAAATCTGCAACGATCAGAGCTCAGCATTTGAGAGCAGTCTCCAAGGTTAGTTCAAAGACAAAAAAATACTTTAAAATGGCATCAAACGTTAAACAGCTCGAAGATGTTGCCTCAAATGGCCTCATGTGTGTAAAAATGCCATTAACTGTTTCCATGATCTTATGTGATGTCTTTAAATGCTTATTGTGTCCGTTCAACTGTCAAAAACCAGATTCAGTTTACTATAAAGGTAACGGTTCAGTTTATAAAGTGATTTATGGATTATCAGAATTTAATCTTTTCACCCTACCTCTGATGTCCTTGAGCCACCGTGCTCAATATCCCTCTATATTTAGAGGGTGCAGTAATTAGCAAGTTTCTTATATTGTAATTAGAATGGGATATAGACTAACTAATTAAGATTGTAAAAGTGTTTAAAAGAAATTATGGAAAGTGTCAGACTCAAAAGAATCAATAACTGCATGTTGTCCGCTAGAGGTGCTTAATATATATCAGGATCTCTTCCTCTTTTTCAATTAAAATAAAAGTCAAACATTTTGTCACTTTACCCATTTATGTACCTAAAAAAGATAATTTTATATTGAGTACATTTGTTTAAATTTAATCAAATATAAGGTAAACATTACAGGACTGAAACATACACATTTACCATATTTAAATACTAGTATTAGGACTGCACTATTAATCAAAGTCGCAGTATGGCCAAGTGCGATATCCAAATCGAAGGAGCTGCAATCTTTTTTTGAAAAAGGTAAAATATGTCACAGCATTGAGTGTTGTTGGCACCATAGTGGTGAGAAATGCCCGACTACAAATCATATTCTCAGGACGTAATGGAACATGCTTGATGGTACAAGGCCCAACAAAAATCACATCATCATTTAAAAAAAATATTGATTGAAAAAGAAATGCAAAAACAAAAATACCATTTAAACAACTCGTATGGCAATATCTGCCAAAAATTATTATTTTTTGCATATCATCTAGCCCTAACTAGTATTTATATGATATGTTATTGGAGTTGACAATTTTTGATTGAGATGAAGAATTTGTGCTTAGTAATAGTGTTTATATCTTGAGTATTTTGAACAAGAAGTAGATTAACAAAGAGTTTTTTTCCTTTCTTTATAGAAAGTGCTGAAAAAAGCAAGAGGATGAAGACTGAGCGCATCATTGTTGATTTTATGAACATTTTTTTGAATGACAGCAGCAATATGTTTGTTTTTTAATGATATATATATTTGTTTTCTTATGAAATTTACTTTTCTGTGTTCGTTATTCTTTTCCTTGTGCAAGCAAGTACTGTTTTTATATGACTGCCATACATTTTTTTTGTTTATTAAATTCTTGTGAATTTTATAATGAATCTTATAATGTGCCATATTTTATGTGCTACAAATAGTGGTTTCTCATATTAACACTATTATGACTGCTGCAACCATCAGCTCGACCTTCACATCAGAAACCCAACATAAAAACCTGTGTTTTCTATATTGGACTGAACTACTTTTATCAAAGAAATAGAAAAGTAGACTTATTTTTCAATGATGTTGAGTGTAAAAAGCTTTAAACTCCAAGTTGTGGATGGTTCAGGCTACATTTGTACTTTCAGATCTCTTCACCTCCTGGATCGTTCTATCAGTGGGTGGGCTCACCCTCCTTCCAAATTCCTCACTTCTTCACAGTATATAGATTATCCGTGCACTCTGATGCTATCCTGTTCATTCCTTATCACTACTACTCAGGCTGCTTCTCTAGAGATGCGTGGCTGGAGGAATACATGGACTTAATGAACATGTAACGAGCAGCTCGCCTGTTAAAAGATTTTGAGAAGGGACTTGAGGGACACTGGGACATTGTTGCAAGTTCCTTTGATCATGTAAACCCTAACTGGGTACATATGTTGGTGTGGGTTCTGGGAGTCTACCCTACCCCTGTCCTGTTGTTGTTGTGGTTTTGTTATGCAGTGTTGTCTTTTGATGTCTGTGGATAAGTGTGTTAGCATAAGTATGTTTTTAAAAAAAAAAAAAGCCAAAAGGTTTAGGTGTGTGAGTGGTGAAAAGGTCAAAGTTAGATTGTTAAATTGCTTGATCATACTGTACATGCTAAATTTTCTTCTCCACCAAAACTGTGATAGCAGGTGGTTTCTGGTTTGTTTTATAGTGGACTCACCTTTTAATGACCTGTTATGGATTTATCTTTTTGGAGTCTTGGTGAGTATAAAAACAAGTGCTTTACTATGAAAATACAAAAGGAATGATTTCAGTGCTGGAGTTTGAATTTTAGACAGGTTAATGTTAGCATGATTACAGCTACATGTCCATATGCCTATTGGTCAGTATTCATTTTGTGCTCTCACTCCTTTGCTCGGTGTTCGCCCCTTAAATCATTTTACGTTTTCTCTGTTTTTGGAGGTTAAGACATTCCACGGCCTACAATGGTTATTTTCTTCAAGAATGTGATCTGGCACCCCAGCGAGCGTAGCTTTGACATATTTATGTTCCCAGTCAGTTTGAGGGGATGTTACTGGGTTTGTGGAGCCCCTCCCCATTGACCTTTGAACCCCCCCGCACCTCTCTTTCAGCAGTCTCTATCCAGCCATTCTCTGCTTGATTCACATGTTGTTATCACAGAGCCCTGTAACATTTGATAATGCATCTTCATATACTTTCAAATCTCAAGCAAAGAGTTAAAACTGTTCCCTCTCGCATCTCCAGCTGGCCGGCAGTCCTTTCTAGTGACGAGAGAGTTAAACTTCTTCACACTCTCCTGTTGAAGATATGTGCTTTGCTGGCACAGTCTTATCTATAAATCTATTGCGTGTGGATTGATGGATGATATTGTTCTGTAGCAGCTGGCTACACATCCACAGGCTCCTCTGAGGTGTTGTTTTATCGTCTCTAGGTTTGCTTTTGTTCTTGAGGGATTTGAGAAACACACCCTTCTTCTTCCCTAGCCTTCGCTTTGCCTCGCCTGTCCGGTCCGCGTGTGCTCATGTCTGAGCACCTGTTGACAATCTAATCCAGCCAGCGCAGCCCTGTCCAGCTCCTCTGTCTGGCAGTGCGTCTTTTAACTCTTGTCTCTCTCTCAGATAAATCAACTCCAGTGTAAAATCCCACTGCGAAGCTCCTGCTGATTCCTCTTTTGACATTTTTCCAGACAAGCCAAGAAGTAAGAGAGCATGGCAGTCCATTTTTGCAGAGATGTTATTTTGATAACTTGCTGTGCCTTTCTTAATAAGGAGCACATGGTTTCATGTGTTCAAGTGTGTTGTTGTTTCTGTTCATATTTTTCTGCAAAAATAGAATCATACAGCCTAAAAACAAAATGACTAGTCATTTAGAAATAAACTCAAGGAATATCACTAAGTTGGTCTTTTTGCAAATCGGGGGATTTTTGATGCCATAAGAAATGACAGGATCTGAAAAGATGATGGACCACAGATTCATGAATCGCATAAGAAAACCAGTTCCAAGAAAAGCTCTCTGCATGAAGGGGAACACTGGAGAGTTCAAATGTGTTTTGGAGAAGTGGATGAAGAACCGCAGAGTTCCCAAAACAGGCGATAATACGCACCAGGATGCCAAACAACAAATCCTCTGGAGGACTGAAGCTTTCAACACCTTCTGGTGATTCTGTGGGAATTACCGATCCTTTCTGACACCTACAGTTCTCTAGTTTTTGTTTTCTCATTCAGAGGTAGTGAAATCCCCCAGTATTTTTGGTTTTCATTTCCTGAACTCATGTCTTAATTGAAAACATGCAGTGCCCATTCTTGGCTTAAGTTTGAAAAGTTTTGGTACATAGGAATTGCAGTTTTTCTACAGTGGATGTTTTTGCTTTTTTAAAGCTGTTCCATCATTTCATCCGGCCCGTGTGAGAAGAATTTAAAAAGTTGGTGTTGATGTTGTGATGACATGCTTCAAAAAAGTAGTCGTGACTTTTTATTTTAAATAGAACCGAATGAGAAATTTTGTTTTCACAGTCACACACTCACCCTCTGTGCCGTTACATCTGCCAGTTATTTAAAGATGCGACATGACAGGATGAGGGAGGTTTGTGCAGTTAATGTGCTACGCTCACTCACCTCTAAACATGCACAATGAACCCAACCACCTGTTGTTGTTCTTTGAGGTTTGCGTATTTTAGTGGACAGCACAAAATGTGTCATTTCAAAATAAAATTAGTTGGTAAAGTAGTGAACTTTTTCAGATAATGAAAAAATGATTTATTAATTTTGTTTGCCAAAATAGCCACGCATTTCTTTTTGAGAATTTTGATCTACAGTCTGTATTATTATGCCATTAAAAAGATTTAAGATCATCTTTAGAGTATGCTTTAACACATGTAAAAGATATGTTGCTTTGAATAATTTGAGTCTAATATTGATTTGGTAAAAAAAAAGTTCCATTACCTTGCAAAAAAATTCTTTAAATGACATCTCCTGCAATGAAAATCCAGAAACTATAAACATGCAAATATTTGTCATTTCAAATGTTTCCCTGCTGCACAAAATGTCTCTCACATAAAAAGTCTGATCTTTATGTATTTATAGTGGAATCTACAAGTTTCCACATCACATTTGTGTAAGTTGCTGATTGGACCAATATTGTCTTCCAGCTGTGACGTCACAAAATCCTGCTCGTACGTTAAACTCAGATTTCAGGTGAGCGCAGAGAAGGTCAAACATCCAAGTGATATAACGATAAGAAAAACACTGTTCTGAGTGGAGAGTGAAGATTGGTAAACCAATAGATACAGAGTACATGGTTTTCAATGAGTCATATATCATCATGCAGAAAATGCAGTATTATCAGTCACAGTGTGTGTGTGCTGGTTAAGAGCAAGAGACACTGTGGATGTGATAATGGATCAGGAGGAGGGCCGAGAAAGAAGTGTAACACAGGAGAGGAGGGTGTGAGTGAGTGTGTGTGAGTCTGTGGGGAAACAGGCAAGCTCACAGCAGCTTGCCCAAACTTTACATCAGCTCTGGGTCGCGACTGTCATATGATGGTTTCTCTTCTGTTTGCATTCTTCATGGCATTCTGCCGGCTTGAGTGATCTCATGGAATGCACATGGGGATTTTCCTCAAGAAAACATTTCTGCACTCGACTGCTGTCTTACCCAGACTACAGTCTCTACATGGGTCCAGTTGAATGAATTTTGTGGAGAAATTCACTAGTTTATTTTATTTTTATATTTTTAAGTGTACACCAAGGGATTTGGGATGTGATGTGAGGTGTCTTTGCCGATTCAATGTTGTGCTGACGGTGAAGGAAAATGCAGATACCAATATTCATTTGGATTCTGCACTTCATGAATCTTCCAAAAGGCCTAGACAACGCAAAGATCCTGCGACACAGACGTAAGTATTCAAGCATAATTCTTCTCCACTTCGCCAATACTACTTTGATACGGCTGTTGTGAAATGTGCCTTACTCTTCCCTATTCTTCTTGTAGAAGACAGTAGACAGACACTACATGTGGACATGTGGAGACAATAAGTGTGTTCCTTCAGCTTTCAGGGAACAATGTGGTCACAGATTTCCATTGGTTTTACCCACTTGCACGCTGCAAATTTCAAACCATGGCTCTGTCTATTGGCTCTGCTCTCATAAACCAAGTCGCCTGTATAATTTTGTTCTGTAGATGGAGCATGGAGTATTTCGCTTGTACAAGCATAGGAAGAATATAAAACTCACTCAGTGTTATTGTTGTCAGACTCCCACACACACACATACACAATTACTTATTACTTATTTGTCTCTAACCCATATAACAGGTAGTTCTTCAGTGAGCAGACTCTGTCCAGCAGGTTGTGCATCATGCTCGGCCCTGAATGGATGTCTGTCCTGTAAACCTCGCCTCTTCTTCCACCTGGAGCTGGATGGGATAAGGCAGAAGGGCACCTGCCTGTCGTCCTGTCCCCAGGGTCACTACGGCATGCGCTCGCCACAGATCAACACCTGTACCAGTAGGTACCAATGAACACATATAGGAGTGGTGGAATAATGTTTAATGTTATTATTTTGAGTGACAAGACTGAATTAAGTAGGTCTGATTTTAATGGAGCAACACTTCGTATAACAATGGTAGATGACTTTATTGCTGATTAGCTTGACATTGTATTTAGATGAGCAAACAACTCTTGCTGGTTCACCTTCTTCAGAGCACTGTGTGAAGCTTGAAATACCTTCTGTCTGTGCTAAGGAAAAGGAAAAAAGAGCAACATCTTTTGGTGTCCTGACACTGTGGTCACTTTGCACTGACCGAGGTTCACTCCCATTTCAGGGTGCAAAGAGGATTGCGCTTTCTGCTTCAGTGACAATTTCTGCACTCGTTGTCATCAGGGCCACTTTCTGTTGCGAGGAAAATGTGACAATAGCTGTCCAAATGGGCTGACGGCAAACACAGCACTGCGTGAATGCACGGGTGAGACACTGTCACTGCTGCATGTTATTCATGTAGTGCTGTAGCGCATGTGGTGCGCATGTATCCGCTTTCCCATGATCTCAGGAAACTACACTACAGCACATTGAAAAATGTTTATGTCCCTCTGTCTCAGAGTGCCCTGTGGGCTGTGAGGTGTGTGTGAGGAGGAACGTGTGTGTGAAGTGCAGAGCAGATTTCTACTTCCTCCATGGGCAGTGCCACCCTACTTGCCCAAGTGGATCTGAGCCTGACGTACAGCTCATGCAGTGCATCCCCCAAGGTGAGAGACATTCCCTTTCTCTAACGTCCACCATGCATTTCTGCTGTCTTATGTTTTTATCTCCTCCCACCAACATGTGTCATATTAATCATCTGCTGTCTCCTCTAGTGCACTGCGAGGTCGGGGAATGGACAGAGTGGGGTCCATGTATTCGGAAAAGGAGAATGCAGGCCTACAGGAGGGGAGAGGAGACACGTACCCGACAAGTTCTGCAGTCCCCTAGTGTCTTCGGTGACCCCTGCCCACATGTGTCAGAGTTCAGGAGGTGTGTCATCAAAATGAGACAGAGTCCAAGTAGGTTGTAATGAGTTGACATTTGCTGACATTTCAGACACATTTAACTCTAACATTGGCTAGTAATGAAAACGTATACATTTATTGTAAATTATAAAAATGTAAAAGTAAAAATTGCAATTCAACATAAGGACATATGAACAGCAATCAATGATACGACTGGTGGCCAGCCATGGTAAACTTTTTGTTTCACATACTGATTGCCTTATGTGATTGTGGTTCACTTATTTTGACAACTCCTGCACATTGTTTTCTTGTTTACAATAAAATTTATTAAGAAAAAATGTATTGTCCTTAGCTCCTCATGAAAAAAGTGGACAAAATAAACAGCTGTAAACAACAATTAAGGAAAGGGTGAAAATGATAAAATTAGTTATAACTGAATTCCATTTAGCTCATTCAGTTTCAGGGTTCTGGCACAGTGCATGCTGACTCACTGTTACACTGTCATGGCTTACTGAGACACTTCAATAGAGTAGAGCCATTGTTCATGTTATTAGTAACACCTGTGTATTTCTGTACAGACCATACAGTAAGAGTATATAGTAAACAAATGACATAGGATATATTAATTACTATATAATGTCAAAGCTCCCCTGTATAACAGAACTTGAGGTATATACCTCTGAATGTAAGCTACTAATTTGAATAGAATTAATTCGGTAATATAGGAAATATGGGTATATGTATACATAAAAAATCAATATAGAAATTGTACAAACCTGTAATAATAATATTGATTATATAATATTGATTATATATATGCATATTTTAGAATATGTTGTATGCTTATAGTCTGGGCACTATGCAAAGAAATGGGTGAAATATACGACGCTTGGCAAGAATGAATAAAAAATTAAGTAATCTAATTCACAGACTTTTATCCACTTTATGACATATACCAGAACAAATCTATATACTGGGAGGAAAAGAAAGCTCTGCTTTAGTCTGAAACACTGTCCTTTTTGTAAACGAGCGAAACTTTCTCTTTTCTATTCGGCTCTTCTCATGAGTCATAAACACACTAGATCTACAGAACATGTCGATTGGCACTGGAAACGATGTGAGGCCGATCCAGGCACATTGAAGTCAGATGGGCTTGGCCAGAGTTGTGCTCCAGCAGCAACGCAGTCATTACTTGGCGTACAAAACTTTGTAACTAAATATAAATGCAGCTTTATAAATATCTTCGTCTGCACTTCTTCAAAGAAAGCTTCTAGAGGCACCATATGCTCAGGTGAGTGTATTAACAGAGAAATGAAATAGCCAGGAAACGCACTGACAGCTAACAGGCTAGCTACATATGCTATGTAGCTGTCAAGTTAACGTTAGACCAACATTAGATGAATGCTCGACCTTAACTGTGAAGAATATTGGCTACAGTGTTACTTCACATCAAACAGACCAGCTTCTAATATCACTGTTAGGAATATAAACTTTGTTAAGATAACAGCTAGTTCAGCTAGCAAATTGCCGAGTTAGCTAGCGTTAGCTTAGCAGTAACCTAGTTGCGTGGGTAACATTAACTGTCAAACGGGGGGGGGGGGGTTTGTTATGCTGTTTGTTTGTTTCAGATACTTAATCCTGACATACGAGAGTAATTTGTAATATTTATTTCATTAGCGCTAATCGATATTAGCAGAAAACAACTTTGTGCGGTGTGTGTACGAGGGCGTTTCCAAAACTGTCAACAGAGTAGTGCATGGCAAGTGGGAACAACACCAAAAGCATTTTCGTGTTATAGACAGTGATACAGTAAATTAATGCAAGTACACATCTATCTAATACAGCACATACATGTTGCCAGCCAGATCAATTGTAACAGTACTGTTTCTCTCTGCAGCATGGCAGGCTGTGGAGAAGTGGACTGTTCAGTGATTGCCCTGGCTCCCTCCAAGCTGACGGAGGAAGTTGGAGATACTTGTGCCACAGACTCCTCCAGCCCCACCACCACCCCAGAGTGTGCCATCTGCCTGCAGATCTGCGTCCACCCAGTACGTCTCCCATGTTGCCATGTCTTCTGTTTCCTGTGTGTGAAAGGTGCCTCCTGGCACAGCAAGCGTTGTGCTCTTTGCCGACAAGAGGTCCCAGAGGACTTCCTTGAGCGGCCAGTTCTCCTCTCACTTGAAGAACTGAAGGCAGCAGCTGCAGGGGTGAGCCGAAGTGGAGAGACAGGGGGCGGTTCCCGTGGAGACTATGCATGGTACTATGAGGGGCACAACGGCTGGTGGCAGTATGATGAAAGGACCAGTCGTGAGCTGGAGGAGGCCTTTGCCAAGGGCAGGAAGAGCACAGAGATGCTGATTGCAGGATTTCTTTATGTGGCAGACCTGGAGAACTTAGTGCAGTATCGCCGGAATGAGCATGGCCGCAGGCGCAAGATAAAGCGGGACGCTGTAGATATCCCCAAGAAGGGAGTGGCAGGACTGAGATTAGACCCTGAACCAGCGCCCACCCCTGCTTTACCAGTTGTCGCCCCAGCTGCAACAGAACGTGTCAGCTCAGCCGATGGATCGGACACTGCAGGTCAATCACAGTCTTCATCATTTGGGATTTTGTCTCTTCCCCCTGTTAGACCTCCAACACTCCTGGGGCACCATCTCACCAATCCTTTGTCTCCCTCACCCTCAACCCTTGAAGAGTCTCTCTCCCAGCTGCTAATCAGCCAGCCAGAGGGGGAAGAGGTGGAAGGAGACAATGAGCTCCAGATTTATGAGTATGCATCTGGCAACAGTGAGAGTGAGGAGGAAAATGAGAGTGAGAGAGGAAGAGCAGAATCGATGCCACAGAGAAGACATAGACCAAGACTACTAAGAGAGAGTCAGCCGACCAGAATGCCTCCGAGGGGCAGGCCCTCCAACTCGGCACTCAGTCTCCGCTCACGTAGTCCCGATGGACAGTGCACTGTGACAGAAGTGTGACTGCAAATGGACAGTGGTATCTGTCCTCTAGATGACAGATGTTAACTCTTATCGGTTCAGCAAAAAAGTGTGAAAACTAGTATGCATCTTTTAAAGGTCCCTTGAAACTAAAAATGTAGAAATACCAAAAACTGTTAAAAAATGTACAATATTCTAGCCATTTCAAAGGACCTTTAAAATGTCTTTGTGCTTTTTCTTAAAGACTAGTTTCAGCCTTTAAATGGTAGTCATGCATCGCTCTCAGCAACAGCCTTCTTCCAGGCCAAAAGAAATGTGACGAACTGTAGCAAAATATTAAACAATGTTGTCGAAAAACAACCATCTGTCACTGCCTTTACATCAGTTTGTGACAGCGCAATACAACGTCTTTGAAATTCAAACTAATCCCTCTTTGTTCTCTAATCTTTTGAACTCATTGTTAATTTTAATTTTTTTCTCTTTTGAAGTGATGATATAAAAATCAAGCTTAAATGTAGCACCTTATGTACCCGTTACAGATAGTTAAAGCTGCTTTTCCTGCTTTGCTGATAGGTTTTTTGAAGTAATGAAGTTTTAATCAGGACCTAATTATTAAATATTTAAAATTTTGTGTGTGTGTTTGTGTGTGTGTGTGTGTGTGTGTGTGTGTGTATTTTCTTTTATTTTCTTTGTTTTTCTTTGTTTTAGTGTGAAAGTTTTGTTTTAGTAATGATGTGTGTTTGTGTTGTGAGCGGTGTTGGGTGCTGAAAACATACTGGCAGAACCACTGGAAAGTATGAGGCTATATATGTAGACAGACATTTGGATGTCTATTTCTTGTCATAGTACTCTGGATAGGGCTACTATTGAAGCACTGGCATTGACATGTACTTGGACGAGCTTTGAGCTCCTCTCATGCGGTTTTTTTCTCCTTTTGCTCCAGCTGCTATTTTAACTGTCAACTTTTCATAGTTGGTATCTTACTGTCTGAATGACCTAAAACCTTCTGTGTGGTGTAACCCCTGTGGTGTTTTCGTCATGTTATTAAAGTGTTTATGTATGATTTAACATCACATGTTGGCCGATTTTCTTATAATACACAGAGGGCAGTATTACTGAATTATGGGGAGAGAAGTGGGCTGAAAACGGAGGTGGCACTGATCCACAAGCCTATTTGGAATGTATGTCTAGACTTTAGTCTAAAGGCAGTGTACATTAAGAGTCCACAGGATGGAGCTGTTGCACAAATTAAGAAGCCCTTTACCCCACCTGTTGTTTAGGACCATTTGAGAACCTCCAGAGAGGTTGAGCAGCTGTGAAAACCTCCCAAACAGAGACTGATAACTCAAGTCAAAACAAACAGGCTGTTGTGGTTCTAACAGTTAGATATTGTGTTCACAGTGCATAACCATACATTTCAGCTGAAGTTAGATAAGAAAGGAATTGCTGAAGTTAAATGCAAACCCTAATGCCAAAATGTCAAATTATTTATTTAGTAATTACCTGCAATGTTGTTTTCCTGAGACATGATGGGAGATGATTGATAGTTTGAAACCTGAGCTAAACTTTATGTTGTGTGTTTTACAATAATCCTGGATGTACCACCAGTTGATTTGTTAATATATTGGGTACTGGGTATGGCAGGTACTGGATATAAAACATCAGAAACTTAGGCTGAGGGCCAATGTCTCCTTTATTATACACAAATTTGTTTCAACAAACCACATAATGTAGTTTTGTAATTCTCTACAGAGAAATCAGTTACTTTTCTAAACTAATTTATCTTCTGACAATGTGAACAATTTTTTCAGCCTTGTGGTTTTGCTCTTACTCTCATAGTAATGTGAGGGACTGTTGGGCCCTGACTACTCGCTACACAGTGACTGATTATAGTATACATTTCTGAATGTACAGGTTTGTTTCTGGTTTGTGCAATGATGAGATGTTGCCAAAAACAAGACCCCTGCCACCAATGCAGCTGAGCTGCAGCATTTGCCAACTGAAGAAAACCACAGGCTCATTGTGTTCAATCCGACTGTGATTTGAATGAGAAACAAGGTTTAATGGGCCAGGCTTTGGCTGGTGTCTTTTCAGAGCTTCCACAGAACTGTGTAAAACTGAAACTTCAATGATGACGTTGCCCAAATGTAGACTGGCAAAAAATGTGTTTCTGCTTTTGGATACTTTGGGTATAATTTACAACTATAAAATGTTCTTAGCCCCCTCCATAAACACCACAACCGTCATTGCTACTCATTTAAATTCATGTCTTGTCCTCATGACAGGGCCTCATCAACAAAGCCATGGTGACGGTATCCATTCAGTTCAAATGTATTGTATATGTCTTCCATTTCTTGATCATTCATTTCAGTGTTCACATTTAATTTCTTTTATCAGAGTAAAAAATGGGGATAAGCAGCAAATGAAATAACTTTTGGTTTTAATTTCATAGTGCAAACACGAATGCAATATTACAAAGGGTGTATTTAATTTTACTGCAAAAAACTCTGTTGGGATCCCAGTTAACACTTCACACTGTATATCCACACGTTTTTTTTATTCTTATTTACATGGCAACCCAAGTTTAACCCATAAAGTAACCAACAAATATTCTGCATGTGTTACTTGTTGCTAGCATTAGAGAGCCACATGGGCAGACATTTGTGGAAATTATATGGAGTCTGGAAATTTCTATGGTTCTCTTGGTTGTCCTAATTTGACCCATAGTGTGTATCAGACCATCACTAAGCTGTTGTATGTGGCACCCACATGAACAATTATGCCAGGGTGCTTCACAGCTTCCACTGTTAGAAAATCATTTTACTGGGTGCTCATGAGTACTTGAATAAAGGACCCTGAATGTTTGTACAAAATGTCATAGCAAGCCATCCAATGGTTGTTGAGACATTTCAGTCCAGACCAAAGTGGTGGACTGACCTACAGGCTGTCCTTAGAGAAAAAAAAACAAAACAAAAGTCAACATTAACACTCACTCGTTTTTATACCAACCGAGGAAAATCAAATTAATGCAATAATGGTGATATATACACGACATCGACGAAACAAACCTCCAGACCTGGTTTATGGCTGTTTATTGGCGATCAAGCTGACATGGTTCATCATTGCAATGGTGGTATGAAATTCAGCAGTGGTACTTACATGCTGGATTGTATACAGATACATCAGGAACATGTTATATATTGTGTAGGTTATGGCTTTAGATGGTGTGCTATAAGATCCTGAGAGACAGATTTATATGTCATGGAAACACAGTCTGTATTTAGATTGAAAATGTATATAGCAGCATCTGGTGGGGGACATACAGAGACATGAGACATGTGCCAGTGTGAAGGACAACAGCGTACAAAGATACTGCAGAGTAGATGATGTTGACAAAGAAACAATGACATTGTTTATGAGTTAAAACTGGAAAGAACTGTGTGTGTGTGTGTGTGTGTGTGTGTGTGTGTGTGTGTGTGTGTGTGTGCGTGTGTGTGTGTGTGCTTGTGTGCGTGCGTGCGTCTCTTTCTCTGTGTGCATGATAAGAGGTCATGACAACTTTTGGTCTGGGCATCCAATATATGATATGGCCAGACATAGTTTCCCCGCAGACAGACAGACAGACGGACAGGAGACAACACTTCTATATGTTTTCAGACACATAGCTGCACTTTAACTCCCTCATACATGCTATCATATCCTGGTGAAATGCCTTCTGTAGCCTAACTCTTCACACTACAGAAAATACACATGCTGTCTCCCATCCCTCCACAAATAGTCCCGTCATACCCACATCTCTCGCCACCCCGAGGCCCACAGAAGAGCATTGTTCTTGTGTGGATTATTTATGACCTTGTTTTTGTTGAGCAAGGTTGACTGGTGGTGTCCATCAAGTATATGTGTTCTTATAAAACTGCTGTTTTGAAATCTCAAAAGGTTTTTGTGTAAGAAAATAAAAATGTACATGCTAGTATTGATAGTTGTTGCCCCTTGTCTGACATATACATACAGTATCTGTGTAGGTGTAATATTGCCATTGTTATATTGTTACAAAAACTATTAGTTTTTGGGTTCTATTGTGCAGCTGCATATGTTGTGTTTACACATTTATGTACAGTATGTCATCAGTATTTCAAAGCATAATGATGAGATTCACAGACAGGGTATCTCACTCATACAGGAGCCAGGAGTGACTTCACTCCTACTATAACCATCATCGACCTAACACCATTAGAGCCTATCGAGTGACACACCTCGCTAAGCACGGTGCTACTGAGCCATTTATAACAGCGCGATGCGTCACGTCATTACTATGATGACTTCTGAAATCATAAAGTTTATATTCTGGGTGTTCTCCATTTCTAAATACAGTAACATATGATTGCACATTGTCTGTTTTTGGTTTGTATTCTGTCATTTTTGCTCTTAAAAACTGAAATGTAAGATGTGGAAAAGGAAGAGTACCCTAAGAGGCCTTTTATTACTGAGTTAACAGTGTTTATTATACAAGGACAATAATGTTCTGCAGGAATCTGAGTGCTGTCTGGCCTATAAGTGTCAGATTTGTCAGTGGCTCAGTCATGCTGCAAATGTCATTTTCCACTGAACTAGTGAGTTAGTGTAATTTTGCTATTACAATATTCAAATGATGTGTTTCATCATGCTGTGTCTATTTGAAGAAAGGGAGGCTATAAATGCATGCACCTTGTCATGTACAATATTATGGGTATGATATATAGTTACCCAAATGTAATTCTGTAGGTGGAATGATGGATTTATGGCTGGTGATGAGACGACTACGAGACTATAAAATGGATACGGAAAAAAGTAACAGCAAAATTAGATTGAGAGTTATATTGTTGTCTGGAGCCCTGCAGGAGTACTCACGTATGCGTGTATTAATCTGTATCAAGATCTGAATATTAATACTTATAAAAGTCAAAAACAATAACTTAAGTACAAATCTGAGTATTAAAAAATGTTGCAAAAGAGTACTTTGACTCTTTAATGATGTGATCCAAACTTGCTTGCAGAACTACAGTATTCCTCTTGAAGGTAATATTCATTGCAGGGCTGTACATTAGACCGCATTACTTTTAGCCAAGTGTAGCTACCTGGCATTAAACTGAGTAGTGTAGTGTAGATGAGTGATGGACTTCTTTTATGGTAAGTGGGCTTCAGTGATTCCAATAACATTATCATGCTTATTGTCACCTCAGATCAACATAGTAAACCCAGCAGGATCCTTAAGTCAGTCACATCACTGATATTTCAGAAGATTTGTTAACCACTCGCACATATTAGAAGGGTGGAACCATCTCTCTTAGCTCAGGACCTTATTCCACTCTGTTAGTCCCTCCTGTAGATTGAAGACGCCCGAGTATCATCTGTGTGTTTTTGTGTGTGCTGTTCCTCAAGTCTGCCACAGTGAAAGCAACCCAGTGACTGCAGCTTCACTTTACCTTTTATCTTGAATCTTTTATATCTGGTCTGCCTCATTCTTGTCCAGACAATGACTGAGCATAGAATACAGATAGATGTGTGTTTGTGCTTCTTTGACCATTGAAAGCAAATGTGTGTGTGTGTAACATGGTTCGTGGCTACTCTGAAGTGAATGTCTGGCATTTTAGTCACACTAGCAGTGCTAGTGTTAATTATTCTTCTGG